CCTGCGACGGTGTCGACGCTGCTGCCGAAGGGGTGGTCAAAAATTTGTTGAAAACGTGTTGGAATAAATTTAGTTTTTATACAAGTAAAAATATAAATAAACTAAACCTATTATTAAAATTAAAGAAGCATTAGTAAATACAAAAGGTATTTGAAAAATAGGTAAAATTTCAAATTGTTCTAAAGGACTAAACATAAAATTTATTAATTTTATAGAATTATATTAATTACCTCCCCACCAATAAACAGCTACGAATAAAAATAACCAAACAACATCAACAAAATGCCAATACCAAGCTGTCAACGTCGCGCGGGTACGACTAGAGCTCCGACTGGTCGAACAGTGCGCCAGAGCTTTCGCGGCGGAAACGCGCGTCCGTGCGCGTGAACAGCTTGCTCAAGCGCAAGAAATACGTGTCGTGCACCCAGCGCTGCGACTTGCTTTCCACCCCCACTTAGGTCAAGTCGACCAAGCGGGCCAGCACGTCTCCGTATGACATCTCCTCCAGCTCCGCCGGGAAAACCTCGGCCGTCTCGACGTTGCGCTCGCAGCCGAAGTTCGGCTTCTGGTAGTCGGCATTCAGGCGCACGATGATGTCCTGTTTGTTCAGGCGGAGGGCCAGCTCCACCTGCTCGTGCGGGATCGAGAAGTACTTGTTGTCAAACTCCTTCCACAGCACAGCGCAGCGGTTGGCAACCACGTGGATCGGCTCGCCCAGCTCCGATGTCACCGTGACAACGCCGCCCGTGACGCCCGTGTAGCTCGTCTCCCACTCCAGCTCCTACTTGATACCAGGCGTGTCCACCAGCAGCTTCTTCACTGCCGGCGCGGTCGCGGCCTTCTTCGCGACCATCACGCGAGAGCCCATCAGGATACCATCTGCAGGCATATTGTGCAGGTGGCCGCGGGCCAGACTCCACTCGCCCGTGAGATACTGCTTCGAGTCCTCCCAGTTGCCGAAGCCAGAGCCCACCACCACCAGCACGTTCGACACGCGACGAATGGCGGCGTACGTCTCCTCCATCGGCTGGTGGAAGTCCTCAAAGCTGTGGTGGCCACCAGCGCGGCCGTCAGTCCACTGCAGCATCACGGTCATCAACGCATCGCCGCAGCACCGCGTGGATACCGTCCACCGAATCGGGCTTGACTCACACCACCTTGATGCCAACGGCCTCCAGCTGCGACATAATCTCAAGCGCACGCTCCTGCGTCGGGATACCGGCACCAATCGTGATGCTCTCGATAGGCACGCCGCTGCGGCGCATACGAAGGACCATCGGGAACTGGAAGCCCCACTGCTTCGCGGTCAGGTACAGCATGTTGATTGCGATGACGAGGCCAGGCTTGATCTTCGACACCAGCTCGTTCGCCGCGTCCTCGAAGATGTTCGGGTGCGACAGACCACCCGCCACAAGCTCGCCGTGGGAACCCGCGTTCTGGATAGCCGCAACGAGGTCGATACCTTCCAGGCTCGTCGTGGGCGTCATACCCGCGGCCATGATGGGAGGCTTGTTCAGCGCGCGTGTGAATATGTTGTAGATCTTGCCCGACGCCGTCACCTGCGGGCCGAACTTCTTTGCCCACGTCGCCTCGGCCGGGGTGAAGCTCGGCGCAGCGTCGATGAACTGCTGCAGGCCGACGTGAGGGTCGTACTTCGTCGATGTGCTCCTAATCGGATGCTTGGCGGTCGCAATCACCACCTCGATGCCCAGGCCTTCCGCAAACTTGTCGCTCAGCTTTGCTACGCCAAGATCGGGTCCAAACGCCAGCACGTGAGTTGCGCTCGAGTGGTGCTCCGCGATCTGTGCCCACGTCGCCGTCCAGTCCACGAGCTTCAGCAACTGCATGTTAATAAGTATATCGACAACGTCGTCAACCGCCTGCAGGTTGGTTGCCTCCGCGTTCGTAGCGTACACGGGCACCTGCAGTTGGCTGCCTTTGCTGGCGCACTTGACGCGCTCAGCGTCCTGGACCAGCTTCGGCTTGGCCTCAGTCAGCAGCGGTGTGTGGAAATGAGCCGACAGCGGCAGGAACGACAGCGAGCCCATGGGCTTCCGCTGCGAGTGCGGGATGCGCGTCTGGTTGGCGTCGGCCTTGGCGAACAGGCCCTCCAGCGCCTGCTTCAGCAGCATCAGCGTGGCGGGGAAGCCCGTCATGTTCACCACGTCCGACGCGTTGATGAGCGACAGCTGCAGGTCGGGCCTCTTGGTGCGGCGCTTGGCCACCTCGATGGCCTTGGCCACGTGCTCCTTCTTGAGGCCGCGCACGGCCAGCATCGGGCCGGCGTCCACGACCTACTTGGCGTCCTGCTTGTACTGCGTCTGGAGCTGGTCGTACGTCTCCTGCGCGCGCAGTCCCTGCCAGAACTTGTAGCGCAGGACGCAGACACCGATCGCGACGAACTCCTCGGCCGTCTTGGCCGCCAAGAAGATAACGGCGCTCACCACGCCCTGGCTGTGGCCGACGGCCGTGGCGGAGCTCTTGACCACGCTCTCGTGGCTCACGCCAGCCGACCTGAGGAAGTTGAGGTAGTTGGCGCACTGCGTCAGCTCCACCAGCGGCATGCTGAAGTACCCGCTGTCGAGCGCCAAGTCTGCGGGCGCTTCGCCGACCTCCAGGCTCTGCAGCCAGCTGTGCACGACGACCGCCTCGACGCCGGCGACGTTTGAGGCGTCTGTACAAAACAAAATATAAATTTTCATAAATCGGTTTGTCAACGTTTTTTATAAACCTCAACAGGTAAAACCACGAGGTTGCGACAAACGTTGGGAAGCCTAATTAGTGGTGGATGCAAGCCCTGGATGCAAGTAGGAGCATTAGCCAATGACAGGATGCGAACTTTGACTACGTTTCCAAGCTCGCTGGATCCAATCAGGCAAAAGGTTAGACGACCTTTCGCCTAACCAATCCGATGACCCTCGCCTCATTCAAAAAGATGCCAACTCGTACTCGCTGGAGGCCCGTGCTTTAGCGCAGTTCGCACTGTAGCACTAGATGGTCGCTGCCCCGCCACTTGCTGTAATCTGCCTCCGTGGAGAGCCAATCCAGGACGACCTGCAGAGATGACTTGCCGTCGGTGACCGCATCGTGGTCTTAGAAGGCCGGCTTCTTCTTGGTCGTCGCGCTTAGTTCGCTTGTCGCAACGAGGTCTTCGTGCTGTTATTTTGTGTGTCGCACACTCCTTGGACTACAAGTAATCTCCTGGAAAGAAAAAGCTGGGGTGAGATCTCTTGTAATGCAGGGGAATTTTGTCCAATAAGATGATGAGATTCTTCTTGGAAAGCGGCTTGCATCCAACTCTGACAACCACTATTATCTGTCCGCAGCAACAGATCAAGATTTTCAGTCACCCCCTCGGCTTCAAACGCCCAGTCCACGTGTTTGTCCTCTGGGATGCGGGGAAAGCGTGCGCTGGAACGCCTGGAGCGCCAGCTAGAGGAAGGCGATGCCTTCCACCTCCTTCAGGTTGGGTGTGAGAAGGCAGCGGCGTGTCCTTCCTGCTGCAATCGACGTGGTAGGTGCTGATCTCAGCAGGAAACCCCAGCCGCCGTCTGCCCGGGTTGTAAAGGTCGGTTATGCTGAGTCAGCTGCAACTCGCCAGAAAATAGAATAAAATAAAATCAAAGCAGATGACCCCTATTGCGATGTTACCGGTAGCATGTCCCGGGGGGAAATGCTAAAGCAACGAAAAAAGTACTAGAGACCCGTGACATTACTGGTATGTACCACTAATATGGTACATCCGATGGAGGCCCCGAGGTGGCCACGGAGTAGCGAGTGTACTAGAGCTCCGACACAGAGACCGAGTACATGTCGTAGTGGGTCCTTCCGGAAATCACATTTTAGATTTGGGACGCGCATTTGTCCAGTTTCTGATGCTTTACGATGTGATTATACTCGGCGTTGCTGACCCCGACCATAGGTTCACCGAGTGCTCGGATGGATCCGCAATTTCTTTATGCATGGGTGTCACGCACCTACAATTGGTATGTGCATTCGTTTGATGGCTCCGCGAAGCCTGATAGGCATGGTGGATATGGCGGTTGCGCCTGGATATTGTGACGACTTCCTGACTGCAGTGTAGTGATCGCTGTGAGTGCGTATCTCGATACTACGTCGGTAAACCTCGCTGAGTCCACCTGGATGAGCAACGGAGTATTTGAGCCCTAGAACATGGGACCGAGGATTTACTCATCGTCTGATACTTGGACTCGCAATCCAGTCGTAAGGTGTCGCTGTTGGCGCAACGGAGCAAGCACATGGATTTGACCAAGAAACTTTGGTCGGTGAAGTATCTACATGCTATCTGTGAGTTCAACGCAGCTGCCGACTCTTTAGCGAGCGAAACTATGGAGAAGAAGTTATCGTGATGGTGACCAGCGAAGACCGGAAACGAGAGTTGATGGAATTGAATCGGATCCGGGAAGTACTACGTGAACCGTCAGCTGAAGGTTCGGTAGAAGTTTTTACACATCATGTGAACTCGATACGGGTGATGGATATCAGTGACAGTGCCGTGGCAAGAATATTTCGTGATTTTGTGTGTGTGATACTGGACATGTAGTCGCGGGGACGAAACAACAATCCCGTGCACGAGAGTCCCAGGAGCGTGCGAAACGTGTAAATTTTACCGATGAGACTTCGGGTGATGGCCCAGCAGAGAGAACCAAAGGAAACGAAGCTAATGACATCAGCAACGAAGAGTCGGACGGACCTCCGGACCAACTGAGGTTTGATGCAACGGTAGTCCACGTACCGAGTGCGAATAACATCAACCCGCTGGTTGTGCAAGAGGAACGACGCAAAAGCATCAGCAAAGCTCAAGACGAGAAACTTCGGTGGTCGAACCTCAAGGCGGTACTAAAGGGAGAACAAACGAAGCTTGTCTACAAAGCTGCACGCGAAGTCTGGAAGATGGCTGACAGATTTGAGGAAAACGAATATTGCCTGCTGTACCTCGTTGGAACGAACTGTCGGTGGGGACGCGAACAAACCAAGCAAATGATATTACGATTAGTGGTACCTATATCGATGGTTCAGGAGATCCCACAGAACTGTCATGACTCCCTGGAGGGCGTATCGTCCGAACTCACCACCGAGTGAAGGCAGACTACTATTGGATCGGACTGTTCGCCGACGTGGAAGGGCATGTGTGCTCATGTCCAGATTGTAGCTCAAGTAAGAGTCGCCCGCAACTCCGCGGGTACTCACCCGGCAACATTCTGCCCAACGCCCACTACAAATTGTTTCGATGGCTTTTGTGATACCCCTACCAAAGCCTCGGCGGGGCAATACCGCATTGGTACTGTTTCGGTGTGCGTTCACTGGATTTGTTGCAAAGCCATGGCGGACACATCTGCACTCTGCGTAGCGCAACCATTCAAGGAGTGTGTGTACCAAAGGTTCGTAGTGCCGTCTCTAATCAGTCATGACCGAGACCCGCGCTTTATGAGCGAGGTCTTCCAAGCCTTTGCTGAGATGATGCAGAGCTACGTTGAGCTATCGGCGCTAGCTAACGGCCTGCAAGAACGATCGGCCAACACGGCGGTGCAATTAGTGCAAGTGTACGTGGATGACCCACCCCAGCAAGACTGAGATGAGATTGTGGAGAAGTTGATCTTTGCGATTAACAACTCACAGGATGCTACGAGGAAAGACATGCATTCTATTGGATGCACGGATGGGACGCACTCAGAGCAATGTCCTTTTTGTTGAAGCGAGGCTTCGGACGGCAGTCAGATGCGTTAGCGTGGCGCCGAGAAGTCATCAGGCAGCAGGAAGTGGTGCTGGAAATGTCAAAGGAGTGCCAAGCAGTCGAGAAGGCTAGGCGAGCTCAGAAGCACGACGAGGCATTGCGTCGAGGAGAACGCGCTGCGCTATCAGCCTCCGCGGCTGATGAAACTTCGGAGGATGGACCAACAGATGAGAGCAGTAGAGAAGACCCACCAGACCCAGCATCGAAGTCTCTCTTACAGCCGGGAGATTGGGCGTAGCTCTAAATGGAATGGGTTGACCAACAAGTTGGATCATGGTGGCATGACCCATTCCGTATCAAGACGAAGGTTGATAAGAACGCGTATGAACTAGAATCGCCCGACAAGGGTGGTTATCGGCTCTATCCGGTAGCGCCCTTGTCTCGACTGAAGGCAGTGAAAGAGTTGGCGACCGACCGGGACACCGAGGTGACCGAAGAGACGCGACTAGACTTCGATGAGGAGCTGTCCCCGGGGGATAGTTGGGAACCTGACCACCTGACGGGTGAGTATGAGGTTGAAGCTATCCTGCAAGACCGAATTCCCTCTTGACGAGCACTGAGCGTGCCGTCAGAGAGTTCAAGGTGACGAGGGTTGAATATGACGAATTCTCGTGGGGTCCTGCATAGAACTTGTCTTGCGATGGACTGCTCTATGACTATCTACGCGAGAAACGGCGTGGCCGAAGGTTGCAAATGGTCCAAGTTGCCGTCGAGGACTAGCCGCACCCCTCTCACAATGATTAAATGTCGGCGGAGCTACCCAACCCGCCCCAGAAGACGAAAAAAAATACGGCGGAAGAAGTTTGTATATTTTGTGCGTAGAATTGGGCCAAGGCTTAAGATTTGGATATTACGATTGGAGAAACGATGGAGAACAGCTGGAGAAGGACACACGATTACTAAACTGGAGCGGCAAGCTAGGTATACTACGAACTGTCTGAAAACCCCGATCTAGCTTGACCTAAGTATGGAGACAAAATAACACTGGAACGAAGCTTAGGCATCCGACTTCGACGCAACCTTGGCCAAGACATGGAGACGTGAGCAGCAGCTTGATCAGCAGCACTTAGAGATGGGCTTAGTGCTTGAGCAGAAGCCTCACCGACTGGGTCGCCTCAACAGGGGTCTCCGAAGCCACGGTGCCGTGTGTAGCCGAGTCTTGACCAACTGTCCATGCATCTTAAGCTTCTTACACTTGTCTGACTTCGTCCGAAGGTCTGCCGCATCATCTGACTCGGCCTGCACCTCTTCCAAAAACTCATTAGCAGCCGGGTACTCGATTTCTTTCTCCAGCTTTCGACCTCTTCCTCCTCCGAAACCTCGTCTTCGACCGCAAACCATTGCGCTGAAAAGCGCGGAAGTGTTTCCTAAGCTTCGCGAGGAGTAGCAGGCAGCGGATCACCAGTACAGCAGAAGTGTTTAGCATTGGACGAAGGGGCTTGAGTCAGACGAAGATCTGGGAGCCAGCTGAGTAGACGAAGTCCCACTATCAGACGGCAATGCGGGAGTTGACAACGCCGGAGCCATGGAGATCGGAACCGAGTCTCACCAGCGCTTGTAGCCGAAGGATCCTTTCGTCATATTGTTCGTGCTCTTCTTCTTCTTCTTTGTCTCTCCTCAATAGTCGTTAACCCCTTGATACCGGGGTAGTGCCGCATCTCCTACATCTTCTAGCTTGTACACATATTGATGGAAGATATGGCATGTTGGCCGGAATATGCACAACAAATCTTCCTGCATATTCTTTATGGATTTTACTATAGCTATGTATTTTTGCCTGTACGAACTGCGCATATCGCTTGCACACGAAAATGTAACACTTCGCTTTTGTATGGGTGTGCATAATTCTGTTTTTGTCCGTAGGCCATATCTTCCGTCGATATGTGTATGTGCGGGGAAGGATTCTCGTACAAAGCTCTATGTGAAATCGTAACATGTATGGATAGCCGCAGGCTAAACCTAGTCTTCGAGGCTGGTGTCTCTTGATATCGTGTATGGTGCAGTAAATAATACATGTTTGCAAACCCAACATGTATGTCATGGAGCAAAACCAGTACAAGCGTGTGATAGAGGCAGTGCGCCGATGAACACAGCTGTGAAATGAAGTGCATAATAGCATGACCACAAACATGTCCGGCCGATCGGGATCGCGTGATATTTTGCTATACTGAAAGTCAATATAAATGGAAGGAAGCTATCAGCTGTTAAATCAGTTGCCGTCGCGTCGAGTGCGCGCCGGGGTCGCTTCGACTGGCGCGTGTCAGCTGCCTGTCGACCACTTTCATCTCTCCCTTCACCATTGACTTCATTTTGGAGACACACCGAAGCCTGCGCAGGGGTCTGGGTTCGAATCGTTCGCTTTCCCCCTTGCTGTGGTGCAGGTTTCAGCGTTGCATTACTCCAGGACATGTTGGTGGTTTCGAACGAACTTAATCACTGCCATCGCGTCAGCTAACGTGTCACGGAATTCCGCCATATTGCAAATGTCCTTGATCAGCAGATTCATTACATGTGCAGCACGGCCGTTGTCAAACACGAGAGGGTGTTCTCGTTCGATGATTTTCCAAGCGCCGCGCATGTTGGGGGTGTTGTCAGTAATCACGGCGACATACTTTGACACCCCCCAGCTCCTTGTGGACGTCGATAATGGCTGCTGCAATCCGCTACGAGGTTTGAGGAATCCCAGCCGTGGATACGCTCTTCAAGAAGATAACTTGTGACCAGGGATAATAACGATGTGGTTCACCTGGTGTTCGTTCCTTAAGTTTGATCATCCATCACGGATCAGTGCGAACGAAGTCGCTCCGGCGATGAACGTCTGGATCACATCTCACAGCTCTATGTACTGCTCCAGAAGCAACGATCCCGACATTGTTTTGACTGAGGGAATGTGACGGGTGTAAGCGGATCGCATGCAGGTCAGCAGCGCCTTAATTGAAGCTGACTCGACCACGCGAAAAGGAATTCGGTGCGGAAGAACATCGTGGCAAGTGCCCTTGTTATCGCATCACGCTCTCCACCCGTCATTTGGTCCACCCATGACGCCGTCGTCTTCTGTACGCAGGGTTGCTTGCGAGGCTCCGACTCCGGGCCTTGTCGTTCTCTCTTCTGCGGTGAGATCACATTCGGCGTATGTTGCACATGAAACAACGCCTTCCGCCGCCGATATACCGTAACAGTTGGCACGCTTGTGCAAGATGACACGAGCTCTTGCTCATGATACCGCGCGCCCACAATGATGGCACTTGCCCTAGGTACCGACTTTTTCCTGCAGGTAGACATTGATGTCGAACTGGGGGGGATCCGTGACCTTCTTGGAGGCTTGGAGAAGGTCGAACACGTTCAGCACCACGACGATGAAGGTGGTTGGTACAGCGGTGGAGTGGTGAGTGGAGGAGAAGGAGGTGATTTGTAGGTATCAGAGCTAGTTGGCGGGGGCCGGCCGCCCAGAAGAGAACCAATGTAACCAACGAGCGTGCCATTAAAAATATAAAAGCACGTAACGGAAGGGGTTATCCGTTCTAGACTAACACATCTAGTAACTACTGCTCGGACACTCCATCTGGCAACAAGAGTAGATCTGGCAGCATCTAACGCAATCGTACTGGTGAGTTGGGACAATGTGAGCCACAATACTAAATTGAAAGTGGCTTATCAATACATGAAACAATAATAATAATCTGAGCAGCGTAGATAAAGTTATTAAAGTGTAAAGGCCATAGCAATTTCCGGTTTTTGTTCGAAACTTAGTGATGCTCGTTCGGCAATCACGTGTTAGTAAAATTTACTAGAAACTAACTAACTGTTATTAACACGTATAGCTAACTCTACCGTTAGTGTATAGGGAGAACACTACTCGTTGCTGCGCAGGGCAGCTCCGTGGTCCCCACTTGTGGCGTTTGTCCTTGATGTATACGCCCGTTCAGTTGAATGTAGACCGTGGCAGGAGCATTGTTTCGTCAAACGCCATGATAGCAGGAGGCATGTAGCCGGTAGCGAACCGACGCTGTAGAGCATCAATAACTGGGCGCGACTTCTATACTCGATCTGTAGCAGCTCTAGGGTCCTTGTTTGAGCTGAAGTGTAGGTTCTGAGACAGGTGCATGAACCAGTCGCACGGCATGAATCGTCCAAAGCATCCCGGGGGAACAGCACCTTCTTCTTCTTTTTACCAAGTCGGACCAGCCTTCCTCCCCCACCTCCGTCAAGACGGTGTCTGGTACACCACCGGCCGCAGTGTTCTCCATTCTACCGAACGCAGACATCAATTGATCCCCGAAGGGCAGTTCAGGTGGAACAGGTAGTTGCACGTCCTTAGCATCGAAGTGATCAGTCGACTAATCTTCGTCGTCGCCAACGTCATTGTCCGCATCTGATTCAAATCCAGGGAACTGGTTTGGGTCATCGCTCTCAGCAACTCGGTTGACCGTCAACCCCTACAATTATATATGCATGTTAGAGGCGAGCGCGTAACTTGTATATACACGTAAAACCAACCTTCGTCAACTTGTACACCAACGCGCGAGTCTTCGTTTGATTCATCTTTTGCTCCTATCGCTGGGATGCTTTCGGAGTCGTTGTCAACCGCAGAAGCGTCCGATGCATCGCTACCCCCATCGGCGCCTTCAAAGTCAGGGTCAAGGTTCCACTGACTTACAGGAGAGCCTAACACGCAATAAACATCGCCTATACAAGATTAGATCAAGGAGATAACATGAACCGTATACGATAGTACCTTCCGAGCTTTCATTGGAGTCATCTGCGTCGCTTCCTGCTGGGGACGTGGTAAAACTCCCTGTATGACGGTAGGGCTGGCTGTGGTTCGTGGTGGAAAGGCGGGGTCTGAAACTGCCGTGCTCCGCGACGGTGTGGAGGTTGGGGTTGGTTGGGGCTACCGCTAGTAAGTCTAGCCGCACAAGCTATCAAACCAAGTACGATTAGCAAAGGAAAGTGTATCTAACACAACAAGGCGCATACGCACGGTTCTTCTCGGGTGTTTGCTCCGCCTCCACGGCCTGTCGAGCTATTCGACGTCGCAGATTCTTCGCGCCTCGCCTTCTTCTTTGCTGCAAATGCTACTGCACACAGAATACGATACGAATATGTAGTGTACGCCCCCAATTGATCAGCCGTTCTTACCGATGTCGATCTTGTCCAAATACTTCATCAGTTCTTCCTCTCCGACAAGGAAGTCTAGTCCCACGGATGCCCTTCTTTGTTTTGCCGGGCCGTAAGTACGTGAAGTCCACGGAGAGGTCCGTATGTTTCTTGAAAGTCTATACGATCTTCTTGAGCTCGCGCCAACAAGCTTGGAACGCCATTTGGCCGAGCAACGTGGGGTCTGCGCCTGAGAAGGTAAACCTGAAAGTGAGGCAAGTACTGTATGGTGGCGGCTGATTTATCTCCGAACTGCATTTGCGATATGATGGGTCGATCTGCACACTGTTCATCGGATGGATAATGACCTTGTTAGGGTATGGTCTATGTCGATAGTTGCATCGATCGGGGAAGCAAGGATTCATTCTGTGGTGTAGCGAAATCAGCAAAATCTGCGAGACCGCCAATCCAACTTACCAACAGCGCCCGGACACCGACTAACGGAGGGGGTCCCCCGATGATTGTTTGCTAAACTTCTCACCTGTGTACCCGACGGTAAGGCTAGATCTTGCTCTGCTGGTGTCTACCGAAGAGTCCAAGCGGTGAAGAAGCAACGTCTGGGCGAGACGCGGGATGTGGGTGGATCAGCGCGGAAATCTTCACTCTGTTCGCAGTAGTTACTCCCGATCCAGTGGTAGTCGACTTGGATCGGGCGGCCTGGATCTGGATCCTGCCGTGGGGTTGCCTTGGGGGTTGTTGTATTCATTTCCGATGCCTTCGCAGGACTTCCTTTGTCGTACTTACCGCTTCCTATAGCGGGATCGGTAGATGTTGAGAGTCGAAGACGCACCCGGCCAAGTAGTAAATCCGGGTGGATCGGGGATCTGCACTTGTAGGTAGGTCACTAGGAAGATTGTAGAACTGGCCAATGTATTATCCAGCCTTAACCAACGCTAGGTCCACTACCGTTAACCTTGCTACGCCGTAGGGCCAATGTACTTCCCGATTCCTGGCGAGGAAGAAGGTCTTGCGCTTTCCAAGGCAAACTCGAGTCTGATTTATGCATAAGTCCTAATCCCATCCCAAAGCCCTATCCTTCTATGGATCCTATCATCCCATCTGTACCTACTGACTCTATGAAGCTCATTTACCTTCCTTGCGTGTCCCTTGATTGCCTTCGCCGAGCCACGACCTTAGATCCATAGGCAGTGCTTCCTAAAATACTATTTATATTTAGGGAGCTTAAATTGGAATATAAATAATGGGTTAAAAGTCAATAAGTTGGAAAATACATTATGACATTCTCCCTGGGAACGAAATATTTACTGCGCCCCTAATTTTCGCGTCACAATTGGCTAAAATTTCGGCCTAGTACAAGTGTGATCGAGTAATAAAATAACTCCGAAGGGTAGTCAAAATAAATAATGGTAGGGGGCTCTCACATCTACGAAATAAATTATACATCATGAAATAATGCATAAATGGAAGTTACCATATCGCGACGGTTCCGACATCCCTACATTTTCCGACAAATAGGACTCTTACTTAAAGTATTGACCAAATTTAGGTTCTCTCCAAAATACAACTGCGGTGAAGATGGTAAAGTAAGTGACGGTGTCGAATGGAAGCACATGCGGCTAATACTACATGTAGTAGAAGATATCAAAGAGTACAAGGATAGCTACATATATTTCTGCAGTTCACCTTCTAAGATGCTATCTCGGCAATCTTGCCGGTTGTTGCAGCACGCGTAGTCTAATGCTACTCCTGTTCGTCTCATTCGACTTCACCAGCCTCGAACGGGCCCACCAGCGAGGTCATGACGGGCCGTTGCCCTTCGCGGGGCACGTTCACGACCGCGGTGGCCTTGACTTCCATCTCGTCCGGGCCAGCGACGCGCATGGAGGACCCAGCAGGGGTCCGCCCATTTCACCTGCGCTGGTGGACTCCTCGCTGGATGAGCCTGACAGACCAACGCCCCGCTTTTGAGCTTGCCGACGTGGAGCCTGCAACCACGTGCACCCGTCCACCTTCTTGTCCTTGGGCTTGGTCGGCTCGCCGCCGATCTTATTCACGGTCACGAGGGTCATCTTGCTGACGGTCTTGGGGGGCATGGTGCACGACGTGCTGCCGCACGAACAGTAGAGCTGGCCGACGTCTCGGAAGTAGCAGCCCTCGACGGAGACGGAGCCCGGGACGTTGTGCGCCGGCCGGCGACCTCGTCGTAGACCGCCACCAGCGCCGTTCACCTGCTGACCTTGTTGCCCTTGGTGCACGGCTCATCCTCGCTTCCCTCACCCGACAGCCTTCTCCAGCTCCTGCTCGCTCTTGATCATCTCGCCCGACACACCACTCTCGCCGATGCAATTGCCCTCGCGCACCACCACCTCATCGCTGCCCATCGTGAGCACGCACACCGTCTTCGCGTCGATGGGCAGCGCCCTGCAGTAGCACACGCTCGACGTGCTCCATCCAGCCCCGACCGGTGCGCCGCGCGAGACGTCATGCCCCGGGTCCGTCGGATGCGTGCGCGGAGGTGGCGGCACTGTGCAGGAACCGCGCTCCGCGCTCGCCGTCGTGGTCACGATCTCTGGCCGCCGCGTGGGGGCCTCCTTTCTTGAACATGGTCGCGATTCTTGCAATGAACACCAATCAACACTCCAATCCGTCCTATTCTAGGACACATCCTAGCTGTCAGAACGGCGAAAATATTTGCAAAATATTTTCTATACTTGACTTTTGTATAGGCATATACATATTTAGGCCAGCCTTCCGACAAATATTTGTCGGAAAGTGTCAGAATGCATTCACCTAACCCTAACCGACGTCATTGGCTGAAATAGCGACTCCAGGCGATATGATAGGCTGTAATTCAGATGATGACCAGCCTGAAACAATCCTGCTCACTTATCAGTCGGAAAGACCACTATATTCATCCATATATTTTTAGGAAGCACTGTCCATAGCCAGTTCCTCCAATCCAAACCATCTGAGTCAGACTCAGAACCAGATCTGGATCAGGATGTAGCCAAGTCCGGATCCATCAATCCGCCAATCGCCTTTGGCCCCCAATTTCTCGGATTCCGCTTCTCCACAATTCCCAATCCCCCATTGACTTGAAAACTGCAACGTCCCTTACAAACATCAAGAGTATGATTTGTTAACTTGTATGGTCCACGTTAAGCAAGTATCACTAACATGTAGGATCCAGGCTTCCGGGTTTTTGGGTTTAAGGTCAACATACACAGACCACAACACACAATCGGTCAGGGTCGCGGCACCAGTTATCGTGTAGGAAGACACGAATTTACGAGTCCTCGTCTCTCCAACCGTAGTCTTCGGAACGAGCCCTACCAACAACAATCTATCCGGAAAGTTGGGCGATAGATTGCCGGGATAATAAACCTTAAACCCAGGTCCGATCCCTTATACGGGCTGGAATGTGCCTACCTGTGTGTTGCGGGCCAGGTAGATTACCCTTAAGTTCACATATAAGAACACCCTTCGTCACGAGCTACAGCTAGGATGCAATGTACACTGTACTGTGTGCTTTCGCACTAAACCCACTGTGGTCCCTCAGAAAGGAAGGGTACCAGACCAATCACCAATCGAAGCCTCGGCTAGAAGTCAAATACACTGATGGGGTGGGGGGATGGGGTGGGGGGTGGGGCTCGCTCGCACCCAGATGCTCGTATACAGCTGGACACAGAGATCTATAATACCTCTCAACACTCGGCCACCTACTCTCTCTCTCTCTCTCTCTTAGTCTTACCAGGATGAATATTAGTCAATGCAAGTTATGTCCACCGGCAGTCATACCCCGTGTAGCCGAGTGTATCCAGACCCTACGCTACAGCGTCGGACAGAATGTAACTGCCACCTTAGGATAACTCGCTAGGAATATAGAAGAGGTACAATTGTACAAAGGGTAAGCATATTGTACTATTTATTTCATGGTAAATTATAGTTCTAGCCAATTTACATCGACTTTGAGTTTGTGATACTCTAATATCATACAAAGTCCAAGATATTACTTTACTAAGCAAATCATCCCAATAAATGTTTTAACCAATCATATCATCAAAACTAGAGCGGCTGTTTATTGGGTGTACAGCGACATGCTCTTCACCATCGCACAGTGCTGGCAGTTACATTCTGTCCGACGCTGTAAGCTAGCAACTTACCGTAGACTGACTTGGCCCTTGTATGGCTTCAGGGGGAAACTCTGCTCTCTTTAATGGTTAGGGACCGTCACGCCTCCCCTATAACTAATCCCTAATGTCTATACAAATATGATGTGTGGACCGAGCTTTCGCGCGGATCCTTCTAAATCCGAACTCCTACCTATCATGATGTGTATCCACTAACTTTAGAGAGCCTGGCGGGTTTATCTGCTTACTACTACATGGCTCGATGCGTGATGATACGCTGGCCACTATTCAAATGGAATTGGGAGTACTGCACAGGCAGCAAATGTTACAGCGCGAAATCTAGTCAAGCGCCAAAGCTGACACGAAAAATTGGCGTTCCAGAATCACAAGCATGCCAAACGTAATTGTATGTGCGCGAACCCAAATAATCTGAGTCTATTCATGGTCGCAAGCGACCCACATTGTAGTGAAACTTTGCCGGGTATGCTTTACGAAATGGATATTCCCATAGTTATTTAACGGTTTCTGGATAAAGCGTAATCACTAAGCACTTCGGGATATCACTCCATGTACTGTACCCACAACTGGGTACAGTTCCGCATGAATGCCATTGGCTGAAATACACATTTGGAAAACTAGCTCCTCCTACCCAGCTCGGCAACAGCAGCCGTGGCCTTCCCTCTCCAGCGAGGCTCACGGTGCCTCGACAGGACCGGAGCCAGCCCCAAAATGAGGGGGCTTCAGCCCCCCTCCCTCGTGCCCCCCCCCCCCCCCGACAACCATCGACTAATACGAAAAAATTAAAATGTATTCATACGTGTGTTGATCACTGTCGTAGTGGGCGTACGCCTTATTGCATTAACGCTAAAGCTAGAGAGCGATTCTACGACGTGTGACCTTTTTAAATCGGTCCAAAGCGGAATCCTGATCAATATCGCTTGCTAAGTCGCGTTCAATTGCCAGTAGCATGAGGTCCGAGGTCCATTCATCGCTCATAGTAGTCCGCAGCCTTGTTTTCAAACGCTTGAGAGCTGAAAATGATCTCTCAGAGCTCGCTGTCGACACCGGAAGTACACACGCCAGCCGCAGAAGTCGATAAAGAATGGGGTATTGTGTGTTGTAACCTGCTGTGACCATACACTCACTGAGCTCTCCAAGATTTTTGAGATCCGCGAACCGAGTGTCTCCCACTGCGACTTTACCAAAGCGCTCAGCCTCGTGTCTAATACCCCCGCACAGCTCCACCAAATCGATCACTTCAGTGCTAAATCGGCGATCCAGCTCTTTCACAATGCTTGATCCAATCGGCTTGTACACGTGCTCATAGTAGTGCATCTCTTGCGTGATGGCTCCGTCATGTGTGGACGCATCCGAGCCGGGTACGTTTGGTTTACCTTTCCCTCTGTTGCGATCCCCACGTCGGGTCCACGGATCATTTTTCTTGGGGACGACTAAGTTGTTGTGTGCTAGCAACATACTGCAGAACGCAACAGTCTTAACCCATGCGGTCGAAAATCTCCATTCGTGTTCGCTGGTTCGAGGCAATTCTAGCATAAACTTCAACTCGCCTATGATGACTTTAACACTTTGAACCGCAGTCACGATGTCGATATCTTCCTTCTGTAGATATTGCGAGAGGAAGTTCACTTTTTCCAGGACAAGAATCAAAATTTCAGTGTGAAACACAAAGTTGAATGTCCACATAGATTTGATGACTCCTAGTGAATCAGCGCATTTTTCATGGTTGATAGAGTCTTTTCCAACTCGTTCCAAAACTTTAGTAATTGGCGACCACGCGAAGGGATGTTTCTTCGGTTGGTCCTTGTTTAGGTTCACTTCCAGCGCATGTCCATGGCATAGCTTTAAGTGTATATTACATCATTTTTATTTACACAGTAATGTGCGGCTACGGTTGACGCATATTCGCTGTTATCACTTCGCTCTTCAGTAGCAGGCCTCCGAAAAAATATCACTACCGCAATCGCGGTATTATATTTATTATATTGCGGATTATTGTTTATCGCCAAAGCCAGTATAATATGATACGGTCTCAATAATACAAATATATGCACCAGAAACTACCAGCCAGTAGTTGAAGGTGCTAAGCGACACAAATGGATGTACAGTGCTTAATAACAGCAAACACAATTCGAAATTGCGCACGATCATTATGTTGAGCGCTGTGCGCAGCTCTAACAGCATTTTCTAAAATTATTTTGTTGAAGCGCGAGGATTAGGAATTTAGGCACCTCGGATATGATCGATTTTGATTTGAGTTGGAGTATTGTGAATTCCGGCCAAATTTGCCGAATCGGGTCGGTTTTGGGGCCCCTGTCCAACCGACCAATACAAACATCAAGTCATTTGCCGAATCGCCGGTCAACAAACATATGGTTATGTGCCCGCATGTCAAGCCCAATCCGTACTTAGTAGGGAGTCAAGGGGGCATAGCCGGGCGACCATAGTCAACCCAAGTGCTTTGGCGATTCGCCGGCGGTTTGCCACGGTCGATTCAATCCGCCCCGATCGGAAAATTAGCGTAGAACTCACAATACATTGTTGTCAATTGGTCGAACACGCCTAGTTTTCATACGGAAGTGAATGTCGACTGCCATTAATAAAAAATAAATCAAAAGCCGCTATGACGCCTCGGTGCACGCGCTGGTGCTATACCTCAATGTAATGTCCGGTGTGATTTACTGTTGCGAATATTAGTGCTGCAGACACTGAGATCGCTCTACCCGACCTCAGCTTCGAAGTAAGCGTACGTTTTGATTGCAATGTCGATCTTCAGCAAAGCTTCGATTGCATGTACGTGGCCAGAGCGCTGCGTCATTGGTAGCAGCCGCGTCCACACCGAAGGTGCGCGGCGTTGCCGGCAGAGGTCTGGCCGAGTACGTCGAGTCCAAGACTACTTCAAGTCGCTGACCATTTTGGAGGACGCGTGGGGCATGGACACCACTGTGTTTGCTGCATCGTGCGCGCCCCGTCCAACTTCGTGCCAAGTGCCGAGCATGAGAAGGTAAGCAGGCACTAACATGTTATGGTATGGTGGAACTATCTAATAGCGGCTATGATACAGACCGAGAGAACAAGCCGTTCAGCTGTGTTGTTAGAATTGGGGCTGCCTGGCGTTCTTGGCCCCCTTCGTTTGATCCGCATGTGGGGGGTGAGTGATGTGGTAACAAGGCCCAGTGCCTCCAAACCCGGAGAGAAGGCCGGTCAAGAACTTCAGGAGGTCCCCATGCACTAATACATTTTATAAGGTATTCATGATGTTTGTAAAATTGATTTGCTTCATCTAATTGTTCTTTGTATTGCATACGCTCTATAGGGAAACCCTCAGCTCTTGGACCCGACCCGAATTGATCAGAATGTGTACTCACTCAGGATCGTCGGGTTTGAATCTTGTGCTTCTGTGGTGCTGACCAAATTCCGGCGCTCAAGCAATTCAAGAGGACACGACCCAACTATGTAAACTCCTGCTCGAACGTCATCATCCACAGTTCCCCTCGCACGATTCGGACATTTTGCAGCGTTGTGTCGCTCGGCCCTGCCACAGAGACTACAGGTGTAGTTCTTTCGTTTTTTTTGGCTGCTCAGCTCGGATCTCGCTGCTGAAAAGATCATGCATGCTAGCGAGAACTGCAGCCCGCTCACTGGAGATTGTTGCTTTCTTCTTCGGATGGCGCTGTGGTCGGGGGTATTCGGCTCGCCTGTACTACGTATTCTCTTTTCTCTTGTGGCCACGTCGCGTCTTGCAGTTCGCGATGAACCACCGGCTTGTTTGTGAGGTGGTGGGGGCAGGATATTCGGGTCTGGCATGAGTGCAGGGACGAACGGCAGGTTGATAGAGACGTGCTGAAATGCTTGAGCGTACGACGTTGCTGTGTACGCATTGTGAAAATACTTGTAGGCCCCTGCCGTTGTTCTGGACGATCCACTTTGGGCATGGAGAGCTGCCACGATGTGCCGACAAGGTATCTGCATTTGGTGGCGATCCGGACAGCGTGTAAACGCACCAGTCTGCAGATCTACCGTAAAGTTCCGCGAGCCATTGTTTAGAAGTGCATCTTCATCTTCGACGCTTGCTACTTCGTCTTCGACGCTTGCCACTTCGTCTTCGACGTGGAAGACGGACGCCGAGTTTTTTCCGTACGGTACAAGCCGAAGCACTCCATATCTGTTTGTCAAACTTTGCCTTCGCCCGAGGAGTCACGGTGTGTTTAGCGCCCAACCAGTTACGAGCATTCTCCTTTTTGGCCGCTATCGTCTCGGCGACGACGTTGCAGAACAACACAACAGCACCGAACCCTTGGCTGTCTCGAACTTCAGCAAGCAGCAGAGCCCGGTTCTGACTCTCTACAGCACTTGTAGTTCTACCTCCAAAAAGAGGACACCCATCACCAAATGCCTCAACAGACCCCCACTCGGCTTTCACCGCCGAGGTTTCCTCTGGGGTGTGTTTGTCGTTGCCAAACTTGGTCCAGCTTGAAGGGTGAATTTTTCGCAAGTACTGAGCGACCGATTGCTTCTCTTGTTTTCCATTGACTATGATCGTACGCTCTACAGGAAAGCGCTCATGTATCTCGGTCAGCACCGCATCGTACTCAACAAAGGTCGTCGTGGCTTGCAGCGATAGGATCAGGCTTCTAATGCTGGCGATGTTTGGCTCGATAGAACGAAAGTGGCCACACACGTTAAAAAAATGTGCAGCGCACAAAACTTAAGATGTATGGGCACGCCACGCACACAAAGACGAACTTGCGCATACCTCGGTCGGAAAAGAGAGTTCGGTCGTGCAGTTTTATTCCGGCCACGATACAGCTCGCAAAAAACCACTCGAAGTTGTCGGCTGTCTCCTTATGAACGAAAGCCACGGCTACCGGAATGTTCCCCCAGTCTCCGTCCTTGCCGATGACCAAAAGGCAGACGCCATTATATTGAGCATGCTTCATGTGGGTGCCGTCGCATTCAAGCAATGGCACCCAGTTGTCTTGCCCAGCAATGAGAGAACCAAATGAAAGGAACGCCCGATAAAAGCGGCCGCGACTATCCAGCTGACATGATACCGTAGATCCAGGATTCTCGCGTGCGAATGACCGGAGAAAAGCCGGTAGCTTGTCATAGTTGTCCTCTTCCTCCTCCATCAGCGCTTTGGCACGGGATATTGCTCCATACACTAGCGCAGGGCGGTGATCGACGTTGACATTGTCCGTTGCTTTCACCGAGGCAGCCACCCGCGCCCGCGCAGTGCTTAGGCCCTTCACCATAGAGCTTTTGAATCCAGGTAGCTCCACCAGCAACTTCTTGGAGCACTTCCGCACCGCGTCACAGCTGGGAGAATGGACAAGCTCCAAATCGCTAACAAACCAGACTTTCTCAGGACACAACGCCAACTTTGTGTTATCGCTTTTAGTGGGCCGCTTCTTGTTCAGCGTCACCTGCCAGTCACATAACTTAGAAGCGCATTCCCATTTCCGTACGTGACCGGAATGTATCTCCTTTTTGATCGACTTGTTCTCGTTCCACGCGTAGGCACGCAGAAACTCTGTGCTATCTGGAGCTGTAGCAAAAACATCGTGCCGGTTGATGTCTCGTCGACCGAACTTTTTCGTCAAATCAACCTTCCCGGCCTCCATGACAGTAGTAGAGCGAAGTTGGTAGTTGCGTGGTGACAGCAAAGTTGGTTGTTGCGCAGTGGCTGCAAAATCGTTGTTTTCCAAATAGGTGTGCGTTTCGTCCTCGCGTCTGGTATCTATAAAGAGGTTGAAGTGAACAACGAATCGAAATGCAGCAAGTAATCATCTGCCAGTTTTTGGGCCAGTATGAAAAAGTTTGATGTATTTGTGGCCACTTTCAATAATCTACCCCCCGGCCACCCAGGGCTACCCGACCACCGAGGCTCCAGCCAACGAGGACTACCCGAGCACCGAGACACCGGCGAACGAGAACTACCCGACTATCGAAGCTCCGGCCAAACAGCACTACCCAACCTCGGCGCTCAGATCTACACAACAACCGAGTACGGCCTGGTCACTGACATCCCGGAGAACGATAACTACCTGGCCACCAAGGCGCCGACCAACTACACAACCACTGAGGCCCCGGAGAGCAGCCCCTACCACCCTCAGACGGATGCTCCTGGTACTCGTGGCCGCCTAAGCCGCGAAGGATAGACGGTGTCACGAGAGTGAGCGTGTAGCGAAATCGTTGCGAGCGAGCAACTAGCGAATCGTTCCGAACAATTCGTTCGGCCCCCCGATGACAGTGTTGGCTGCTCACACAAATGCACAAGGATGAGTGCCTGCGTCGAACCTCGGCTCAGCTCGAGCACAAGCTTATTGAAACAGTCATCCCCGCCAAGACGCTTTCTTCGCCGGGTCCGGCATCAAATAGTTACCAGATCGATCCGCCGTATGAACGTGATAGCGCTGAGCATCAAGGCCATTGCGCTCAGGACCGCCAGCGCATACAGTTCGTGCCATCGTCCTCGTGGTCTCCGCCAACTCAGCCGCCGACGGTATCCACGGTATGAAACACGAACAGGCTCAACTTCGTTTTGAATGATACATCTATTACTCTGGCTGAGGCCAATTCACTTTAGGGCACAAATTAGTTGGGCGTGTCCATGCCGGCACGAACGCCACCGCGCGCGAGCAGGTCGGCGATGTCGTCCTTATGCGAGATCGAGGAGGAGCGCACGTCCTGCACGAGGCGCTGCACCTTCTTCTCCTGCTTGAGGTACTGCAGGGCCATGTTGCCCAGGTTGCTGTCCGGCAGCGCCTCCGTGAACTGGAGGCCCTCGCGGTAGACGATCTTGCTGGCCAGGCTCGAGGCCACGATCGAGCGCAGATAGGCCAGCGGCACGTTCTGCTGCACGCGATCCAGCGCCAGCTCGCGGAGCTTGGGCGGCAGGTGCTCCTCGATCAGCGTGAACAGGATCTGCTGGTCGGCCTCGCACACGTCGTCGAAGTGGGCCAGGACGGCGTCGTGCACGCGCGTGATCGCGCGACTGATACGCTCGCTGGCAGGAGGAAGCGCCGACGTCGGGTCCTTCTTGTACTCGCGGAAGAGCAGCTGGGCCTCCACGCGCGCCAGAGCACGCAGCTTGTCGACGACTTCAACGACCAGCTCGTCCTTGACAGCCAGGAACTCGTCCGTCTCCAGCAGCATGCTGGCCACGATCTCGTACGACGAGCACACCACGCCGCACTTGTTGGCCGAGCTGTCCTTGACGATCACCACGCCGGCGTTGTCGAACAGCAGCTGGCGAGCCTCAGGCGTGATGAACAGGTTGGCGCCCTCCACAATCAGACCCGAGGAAGGCTTTCCGTCGGCGTCCAGGTAGTCGCGCCAGTTGTTCTCGTTGATGGTGTTGGGACGGCCACCAGCGGGGATGAACAGGTCGCTCTTGACGCGGTTGTGCATCGAGTTACGGGCGCGGATGCCCTCCTGCGTGTTGATGTCGTGCTTGACACCAGTGGCCGAGACCTTGGACGCGTCGAAGCTCGACAGCGGCAGCGACTCGTGCACCAGACGCAGCAGCTCCGTCATGTCCAGGCCCTGCGGGTCCTCAACAACTCCCGTGCCGTCGCAAATGCCGACAACGCGGAGGTTGTTGCCGTACTCGCGGTGCAGGATCTTGATAACGTTGCCAGCAACGTCACCGTCAGTTCCGCCCGTGATCTTGACCGTGAACGGCTGCTTGGTGGGGTCGATGTTCTGCGAGCGCAGGGCAACATCGGCAAAGACGGCGACACCCTCGCTCGTAACACCGTACACCTTGTGGTTGAAGCCAGCGTCAGGCTTGGAGCTGATGAAGGCGCGCGGGATCGGGTAGCCGCGGTAGGCAGCACGGTTCGTCATCCACGTGATGTCCTCCGGGATGATGTTCTCATCCGGGCCGAGGTAGATAAGCTCGTCCTGGCCGTAGTAGTCCACGATCTTCTCCTTCACAGCTTCGTCCGTGGTGTTCAGGTCGAGCAACGCGTCCGAGAAGGCCTTGACACTCTTGCGGATGATGAAGTCACGCGGGGCAACGTCGCCAACGGGGCCGACGATAGGGTCGCACAGCACGACAGCCTTGGAGCCTCCCTCGGGAATGTCCTTGTTCTTGAGCTGCTGGGCGAAGGCAAGGTTGTACGCCTCGTTGTACTGGCGAGCGCTCTCGAGAGCGTGGGCGTCCGTCGAGCTCGGGTAGACCATTCGGAGGCCACCGCGAGCAATGTCACGGAAGCGCACGTGGAAGCCCTTGAAGCGACGGCCGTAGATGAAAAAGACGCCGTAGGGCGTGTCCTTGCCCACAGTGCCGTAGCCCATGACCTTGGGGTCCATGCGCAGCGACAGCGCGTAGCGGTCGCGCACGAACTTGTTGGTGCGCAGCGTGCCACGCACGGCGTCCGCCATGCTGTTGAGCAGCAGGATGGCGTCCTCGTGCTCGCAGTTGCGGCGGATCTCCTTCTTCAGCTCGTCCACGATCGCGTCCTGCTCGGCGTCCGTCATGGGACTCTCGCGCTGCGGATCGAACTTGTCGAGGAAGAGGTCGGCAATACGCGAGGCCAGCGGAAGGTGCTGCTCGTGCTCGAGCGTCTCCATGATGCGCGTGAGCGAGTACGCGAACGGGTCCTTCTTTGCCAGCACGCCGTGCAGCATGTTGCCGTAGGCGTAGATGAGCTCCGAGCGCGAGAGGCCCAGGTCCGGGTGCTGCAGCGTCAGGTGCACGGGGCGGTCGTCCACCCACTTGAGGTACTTGAGGTTGCCCGAGATCTTGGTCCACTCGAACTGGAAGTTCTCCTTCAGGGCATCCTGGCTGGGCTGCACGAGGATGCGGATCATGGCGACGTGGCCGTTGTTCTTGGGGTCCTTAACCACGTCCAGGTGGGCGCGCATCACGTTGAGGTTGCACAGGCCGAGGTACGTGGCCGCCTTCTGCATGAAGCTCTTGGGGATGACGTTGGACGCCGCAATGGTCAGCATCGTCTGGGACACGCCGCTGCTGGCGAGCTTGTTCTCCTCGCTGCGGGTCTCCCACTTGTGCTCGACGTCCACGGCGACGCCCTCGGTGCCGCGCACGCGGCTGAAGAGCTCCATCTGCGACGCGAGGCGGCGCGGGTTGCTGAACTGCACGTACATGGTGTTGCTGTGGTTGAGGAACGTGTCCACGGCCTCGGGCTCGAAGTGCGGGCCGGGCGCCGGGTAGCTCTGGTCACCGGCGTACTTGCCCGCCTGGATCTCGGCGCAGAAGCGCTGGATGGTGGCGCGCGCGAGCTTCTCGTCCTCCGTCTGGTTGAGGAAGGGCTCCTGCTGGCCGAAGCGGAAGATGTCGAGCCCCAGCGAGTCGTCCATCGCCGTGAAGATCTTGACGCGCGCCAGCGTGGCGCCGTCCACGGTCTGCGGCAGCTGCTCCAGCACGTTGGCCAGGCGGCCGGGGAAGTTGGCGCCCGAGCGGAAGTGCGAGAAGACCTTCTGGTCCCCGGAGCGCAGCATGACCTCGGGCTGCTGCGCGCCCACGAGCGCCGTGATGGCGTTGAGGTGCTGGACGCGGTCCTCCTCGTGGATGGAGCGGAAGTAGGCGGGCGGCATGTTCTCCAGGAACCACGGCACCGTCTTGCTGGCCGACTCCTTCTGGAACTTGTCGAGCGCGCGCAGCATCTCGTCCTTGCACACGGCCGCCTCGCCCTCGGAGGCGAAGGCGCGCGCCAGCAGCAGCTGGGCGCGGCTCGGCGCCGCCGTCGAGCGGCGCAGCGCGCGGAACTGGGACACTTGCAGCATCGGAGCCGGCGGGGGCTGCGTGAGCTTGGGGAGGGGGCGGCGGCGGGGGAAACGCTGGCTTGGCGCGCACGCGGCGAGAGGAGGAATGGCACGAACTCAGCGGCCGTCGGATGGCCCACAATGATACCAAAACTGCAACCTGACGCGGTGGCTCGGCAAATTTTTTGACTTGGTTTTTGCATGGTTTTCGGCGTCATGCGGTTCGGGTTGAGTCTGGCGCGTCGACGCCATTTTCCGCCAATCAGCGGCATTGGCGTCGCTTCGTCTGTCTCTGTTTTACAGCCTGTCAGAACAAATAGTATAAGTAAGCACCGGAAAACGCGTTATAGAGATGTGTTATTTAATAAACCTCAGGTGAGTAAAATGAAGATATCAGCACAGACGGACTTATTGAGGATATACAGGTGTCACCTGCCTGGGCCGATGCAGGATGGCTACACCTACGCTTTCCGCGTCACGGCGACCAGGACGAGCCGCGCCGGGAAATGATGGCAGACGCCGATGGGAGGCTTCGGATCACAGCGCCGCGCCCAGCGCCGCCGCCACCCGATCGACCTGGGGTGGTGGCACTGCCACTGGCAGCCGCGGATCGGCGGAGCGGGCTCGCTGCTCGCCGCTCTCTGTCCTTGAAGTTGCCGCGTTGTTCAACCGCGTGTTGGCCATATATGCGACGCGGCAGCCTGCTCCCTTCCCGACGATCCGGACCGCAGTGACGTCAGCAAGGGGCAACGCGCGAGGGTGGACACCCTTACCAGTCCTCGAAGTTCCCCCTGGAACTCGAGCGCCGCAGACTAGAAGAAACCAACTGGACGGGCGGAGAGCTGGAGGAAGCGCATTGCAGCTCAACATGGCCATGGGCGAGGTGCTGGAGGCGAGAGTGAGCGCAGCAGGACATGTGATTGTGGAGATGGCGTTATTTAGCGTGGATACCGTAGGCGGCTGAGGAGTTGGCGGACTCCGCGGAGATTCTCCGCCATCACGAGGACGATGGCACGATATACAGTATATGCGCTGGCTGTCGGGAGCGCAATGGCCTATATACAAGTTGCATGAAGCAATCCAGTGGAGTGCAGGTGATTCGTGATCTCGTCTGGTGTCGATTCCGATGCGCTGGTCGGTGGCTTCCGTATCGAATTGGCTCAGTTGATCCCGGTCTACAACGCTGCTGGAAACTTTTGTGAAGCTCCATGGCAGGATAGACGGTGTCACGAGAGCGAGGGTGTATTGTAGCGAGATCGTCGCAACGAGCAACAGGGGTCAGCGATGGGATTAAGTGGTGGCTCTATCGTACTGTACTGCTGCTACGAGGGCAGCGGGGACGGCGTTGGGATCTGGCGCACATGATCAAAAGCTACCACGCAGTTCGGACGTGAACGGCAACAATGTGTTGCTGCTTCTCAAGCATCTCACGGCGCTCGCGCTGCCATTGGGGTGCGCCAGCGGTTGGATAAATGCTCTTTTCAGCCAAGCCACGTTCAGCGCACTGGATCGGTTGCATACAAAGGTGGATCTAGCTGGCCCATTCGAAGATCTGTAGGTTGCTAGAGATGTGGGAATGCAACGGACGGCGTGCGCAAGCATTCGCAGCTAACAGAAGATAACTGTGCGGCGATATAAGTTTAAACCAATACATGAATGAAAGTTGTTAGAAGCCTTACGCCGCACTACTCATTCCTTATACAGCCCGTTCCTTGAGCCACTTCGCCAGGCTTTCGCGGTCACGACAGAAGGCGGTGCTCTTAAGACGCACTGCCTCCATAGCCACATCGAGGCGGCGCTTGTATCCCGCCGTGTCCTTGTCAACCATAAAGGCCTCCACTTCTACGGCCATAGCTTCGCTCTGGAAGCGCGAGACCACTCCGCACACGATCGAACCCAGCGTCATCGCCGAGTACTTCTTGGACAAGAAGTCCCACTTGTCTTGCACGTACTGCCACGCGACCTGCGAACCAAGCTTATCGCTGGCCACGCTAATGAACGGGTAGTGGATGTCTTGCGAGCGAACGTTTTCCACCGCCCATTCCAGCACCTGGAGCTTTGCCGCTGCACCAGACACAGATCCAATAGCGTCGAGGCAGTCTCTGCGCTCCTCGGCGAAGTCACTCTTGTTGTGCAATTCCTGCAGTAGCTTGGCGTTTGCCGCGTCGCCAAACGTCACCTCGATGTCAAAGACAGCACCGCGCAAGTCACCCGACAGCGCAGAGGAATCGCCGCCGAGATACGCGTGGAAACGCTTGTTCGCTTCCTTGATCACGCCCTTGTCATTGGCGAGACCCAAGCGGTTAATCACCGTCTTGCGGAACTCGCCCTCATCAGCGTCAGCTTCCCTGGAAGTGTCAGCATCCCAGCCCAGGCGCTTCATCACGTGGGAGAACAGCGAGCGAATGTACCGCTGGAGCTCGGAGTAGAAGGTCTCTTCACGGAACAGGTTTGAATAGTATCCCATGTTGCGCGAGATCTCCTTCCAGCACAACGAAGCGTGTTCATCCACGTAAGCACTCGTAAAGTCGAGGGCAACCGGAAGTTCCAGCACACCAGCACGGGCGAAGGTGAACACAGAGTTGAGGAGGCTCACTCGATCCGGGACTCCAAAAAGCTGCTCCTTCACAGGAATTTCAAGGCGCTTCCACAGAGCAGGCGAGTAGTTTACAAGATAGAAACTGGCCTGGTTGGGGTTGAGCTTGATCCAGCCCTTGGGGCCTGCTGGCAGCTGAATGTGCTCGTTAATCTCATCTCCAGCGGCAAATGGCGTCGTGGGCGCCGTAGAGCTGTCCAGCGATGTAGTTTTAGCGCCCCAGATACCAAGACGCTTCACCAAGCTCGGGTCTTCTGACGTGCAAAACGTGAGCGGCAAATCCCACAGCGTATTGTCACCACTGTTCAGGCTCGTGTCTGCGAAGAAGCGTTCCTGAACCAGAACGCACTTGCCTTCAGCGTCCTGCTTGACAGTCACGAACGGGAATCCCACCTGCTTGGTCCAAGTATCCGCCATGTCTTTCAGGTTTTGGCCCGACGCCTTTTCCAGCGCTTCCCACAAGTCCTCGGTCACAGTGTTCTGGTAGCTGAACTTCACGAGGTAGTTGTGCACACCACGGAAGAACACATCGCGACCAAGATACTCCGACAGCATGCGCACCACGCTCGATCCTTTGTGGTACGAAATTGCATCGAAGATCTCGTCGGCCTCCTGCGGGTGGTTCACCACCACTTCGATCGGGTGTGATGACACCATAGCATCCTTCACGAAAGCAGACCCAAGCATGATATCCTGTACGAACGTTTCCCACAGTTTCCACTCCGGGAAAATGTGGTGGGCCGCCTCAAACTCCATGAACTGTGCAAAGCCCTCGTTGAGCCAGAGCCCCGTCCACCAGTCCATCGTCACGAGGTTGCCAAACCACTGGTGCGAAAGCTCGTGGCAAATGGCGCGCGCCGCATCAGCCTTGATTTCATGACTGCTGAGCTTTGGGTCCACCAGCAGGAACGTCTCCGTGTACGTGACAAGTCCCCAGTTCTCCATTGCGCCGAGGAAGTCCGGGATCGACACCATATCCAGCTTCTTCAATGGGTACGGGATGCCAAAGCTCTCGGAAAAGAACGACAGCGCCTTCGTAGCCACGTCCAGCGCAAAGCGTCCGCGTGCGCTCTGGCCCGGCGCCGTGTACACGTTCACCACGACGCCCTCCTTGGTCAGGTCCGAGATCATGTCGAACTCGCCCACCACCATCGCCACGAGGTACGTGGACATGACGGGGGACTCGGCAAACTTCCAGACCTTCTCCATGGTTCCCCCAACGTCTGCGCGCGTCTTGGTGCGGATGTGCGCGTTCTTCCTCGGCCGCACGAGCGTCTCCACCACTTGGGCGTTGGACAGCGCCACGAGGTCCACGTCCGTGACCATGGAGATCTCGAACATGGCCTTGAGCGCCGGCTCGTCCCAGCAGACGAAGGCGCGGCGCGCGTCGCACGCCTCGAACTGCGTAACGGCGAGCACGCGGCGCTCGCCCTGGTTGTCGTACTCGGTGCGGTAGAAGCCGAGCAGTTGGTCGTTCAGGAAGCCGTGGAACTGCAGCTTGAGCGTCACGCGGGAGCCCGCGGCGAGCGGCTCGGCGAAGTGGAACGAGACCGAGTCGTCCTTGGCCTGGAACTGGATGCTCTGGGCGCGCTGCGTCTTCCACGCGGACGCCGCGTCCTCCACCGACACGTCGAACACGTGCAGCTCCACGGCGTGGCAGGTCACGACGCGCGTGGCCGAGGCCACGCGCAGCTCCACGCGCTCCGAGCCTTCGAAGCGGAAGTTGAGCAGGTCGATGAGCTCGTAGTCCACGTGGTACTGGGCACCAAGAGAGAAAGACACACACACACAGAGAGGAGCGTGAGCACGAGCGCATGGCGCAGAGCAGAGAGAGAGTGAGAAGCAGGGCGGGCGGCACCTTCTCGGGCACGACGCACGACGGCAGACGCTTGAACACCTCCGGCTTGGCCGCCATGGTGCAGAGTGATGGTCAAGTGCGCACTCGAAGGAAGATCTGATTGTGAAGGATTCGGCGACGAGGGGGAGACCATGTGGACCAGCTCGCAGCTTGCATTAACTTGTTCGAGTTGCTACGCATTGTACATGGATCACTAGACTACAATACAACATGGGCTCTCATAGCTTCCGAGCCTCAAGGCACCTTACGCAGCAAGACGGTCGGCCTCCCAGTCGGCCACGGCCTGCATTCGGCGCCGGAGCGGGACGACCGACTCCGTGTTGGTCCCCAGGCGGTGCGCGTGGATGAAGCCCGTCGTCCCCACTCCTTCCTGCGAGCTCAGCGTGATGTCGCCGCCAAAGTAGCGCGCGAACAGCCTCGCCACCCCGTAGCTGCCACTGCTCGCGATACGTCGGGTACTTCTCCGGGTCGACCGGCGGATACAGCGCGCTCGTGGTGTAGTCGTAGTGCCAGAGCTTGTTCCAGCGGCTGCGCGGGATGCCTCCGCCCTGGTCGGTCACCCTCCTCCTTGCCCTGGCAGATGACAACATTCACTGGTGGCAATTCCCCGTCGGCGGGCAGTTCGCAGGCGTCTCTGAAGATCTTGACCCCGGCAACGTCTTGCACGGCTGACTCTTGGGGTTCATCACGCGCTCGACAACACCCTTCACCTGTTTGCGGCTTGGCTTCGCTCGAGAGCGGTGGTGCTCCACGGTCGCGCGCATCGAGTTCTTGACGAGCTCGAACACCATGTGGTGCAGGTGTACATGAAGGGCATGTCGGCTCTGGGCGTCACGTGGATCTCAACGCGCGGGGCCTCGCCGCAGTACTCAACACACAGCCTCTGCGCACGGTCGCAGGCCTCGCGGACGATCTGCTCGACATTGACACGGTGGACGCGGCCGCCAGCCTGCTCCAGGGACTCGACGTAGTGTCGGACAAGCATCCGAATGCCGATGCGGCCCATGAAGAACTTGTCCAGTCGATCCGTGATGCGCACTCTGCATTTGCAGCGCGCTGTGTCCGAGGTCCGTGGCCTTGAGCTGCTGCAGTCCGTAGCAAATGAGCGGCACGAGGTTGGAGCCCCTCGCCTTGGCTCGGCGCAGCGTCTCCGTGAACTGCAGGTCCTCCGCCTGCTCACGGCAAAAGCGCATCCCAGTTAGAAATCTTAACGCCCTCTCTACTACAGTAGTAAACGACTCCTTACAATGGTGCTCGGTGGCTTGGTCGTGTTGATCCAGTTCAGCTCACGTCTGTACACGTCGATGGCATCGCGGATGGACGCCGTGTCGCTCAGCCCCAGCGGCAACTCCGACAGCTCTACAATGGCACTGCATAGAAACAACAGCAAGCACTCTCGAGTTAGCATCACCTCGTAGCCGGGTGCAGCAGCAGGGTCGGGACGCACCGCGCGAACCGCGACTGCAGCTCCTTGTGCAGGAACTTGGCTGAGACGATGCGCAGCTTGGCGCCGCCGTCCGCGAACGTGCGCATCTGCTGCGGCGTGGGCTCCATGTCGGCGATCTCGCGCACTTGGTCCATGGAAATGGGCGTCTCGTGCCTGCGGGGGTTACCACCGAAATAGGTCAGAAAATGGACTGCTGTGTGGGTGCAGCACAGTACGCACAGCTCGGGGGCGAAGCGGTGGATCTGGATGCAGCGGGCGCTTTGGGCGAGGCGCGCGCGGCCCAGCGCGCCGCCTGGAGACGCGCGGAGCTGCCGCCATGGCAGATTCCGTTTTGTCGGCCGGGCGTTAAAACTGCCGATGTGGAAGATGCCACAACGAGGTTCAGTTGTGGCATCTTCTACATCAGCCACAAAGAACGCGGATCCCGGCCCGGAATTTTCCCTTCATCGTCGCACCCGCGTTCTTATCGGTAAGCGCCACACGGGGCAATTCCTCCAAGGGGGAATAATATAACAAGCTAAAAAACAGGGGCCTCATTGGTGGAAAAGCCACAAGAACATGCTCAACTTCAATGGACGACCATTTTGGGCCGGACAAGGCGAAACGCGGGTTTACATACTGTACAGCACAGCACAGCATGGGTTCTCGTTGTTACAGGGGCTGCCTCCGTCCAGGCTTGGCCAGGGCCATTGGGGCCCTCGACGGCTTTGGCACCGCTGCTGCCGAGATTGGTCGTCTTGGCCTAGTAGACAGCTGGCTGGCTGTGCTCACCCGTTGCCGACCAAGTCTTTGATTCAAGATACTTGCTATACGTACTCAGATCGCTATCTATCTACTCGCTCTGTCTTCGGGTTCCTTCGTCCTCGAGCGCCTTGATCAGCGACAGCAGTAGCTCGTTCGTTGGGGTGGGGACGCCGTGCCGCTTGCCGCCCGCAACGATGCGCCCCGTGATGGCTTCGACCTCGGTCCTGGTGCAAAACGGGAGTCAGCTCAATGCTGGATGCAACGGAGAACATGCACAGAGACCACCAACCTGGAGCCGCGACGCAGATCTGCGAGCATCGAACACACATTGGAGCCCGTGTTGCGAGCCACTTCGAGGATGTCTTCCACCAGCTCCTGCACAAGGAGTACAGTAGCACCAAGTGTTAGTGGAAGAAGAAAGCAACCATGTTGAGACATTCGCGCCACTCGAACATTTTGGGTGCATTCGAGAGGAATCTGCTCTTGCTCAGCGACCGCAAGAGCCTCCTGCACCACCATATTCACACAGTGGCGACTGCCCTCGCTACTCGCCACGCTCTAGTCAAACAAGCAACACAGAATCAGTAAACTGCTGCACAACAGAAAATACACGTTAGAGCTTACTCTGTTGGGTGCATCTAGCAACGAGGCGAGAGGATTAATTGCTGCGTTTACAATCAGCTTGCGCCAAAGTGTGGTCTGCATCTTGCTTGCGTCCAGTACCTCGCAGCGTATTCCTTCACATGATCAATTGTCATCAAGAATCACTTCAATCCTACCAATTCGACTGCCGTTCAAACCTGCAGCATGAAAAACTCGAGCAAGTGCCTTCATCTTGGTATCTTGCTCATGCCGAAGGCGTGCTTGATCTTCGGCACCATCCCTGCTAGCATAACCCACTCCAGCAAACGGTGCTAGGTACGTGATGCCTGCGTCCAATCCGCTCGTCAATACATTTCCAAATCCAAGCACTCGTCCACCGACAAACGTCACGCCGTTCGCAAATTGCCACTGGTCTCCAGCTCCACGCATCCCGCTCCCGCCTCCATCTTGTGGAACTTCACCCAGTCCGTTCTGAAGCAGCACACACAGTGCGTCATCCTTCAGCAAGTGTCTGTTCTTCTCCTGTAGCTCTTGGATCACCCCCGCGCTATCATACGCCTTCACCGCGACTAACAGCACATCCAATTTCTTGTTACAATCCTGTGCCTCTGCGCCCTCAATGGATCGAACCCGCACGCTACACGTATTGACCCCCCTCGCCACCTTCTCGCCTGGCTCCAGTTGGAATTCCAACTTCTCCTCTTCGCCATTATTCTTCCCTTGGAGAGAGAACTGGAGCTTCTTGCTCCGAACCCATTTGTCGAACTGTACAGGCTTGATGAAGGCGTCCACGTTGAGTGCCGGCAGTCCTTCCTTCGTCCTGGAATCGGTGGCTAACGTTCCCAGTCGAGTGAAAAAGATTGTTCCGATTGCCCCCAATCCCAGCACACCCACGTGCAGTTCGCGATAACGATCAACGGTGGCTGCTTCTACTGCATCTTGAAACTGTAGCACAGAATATCCACGACGTCCAACTCGGAAGGCCCACGGATTCCTCATCGCGCAGTGGCGGCCCCAAATCCGCGCCATGTCCCTGGCAGAGACTCCCTGCTGCGGTGGTATGTAGACAGAGTGAGCCAATCAGCTTGTTGCGCGCCCCGGCTGGAGCGCCCAGGGGAGATCACAGTTCGTTAGGCACGGCTTTGTTGTGCTGTGCTCGGTTGTACATGTATTTTGTTTTATTGAGTTGTGATACGCTGGTATGTGGGTCATACCCAGGCCTCCTTAAACATGAAATTTTCACGGATTTTCCCAGATTTGCCATTTTTAAATCTCAAATACTCCCGTGAAAAACAGAAGATTTTATGCTACGGTAGAATATCGTGTCGGACATCTAGAATTTCGCATTACAATAGTGCACTAGCGCTTGGCCTATCAGAAGACTTTCTCATACTTTGTGAGCCAATCGGCGTGCCTCAAATCTCATGCTGTGCCGTAAGTAACAAATCGGACAACTCGGACATATTTTGTCCGAACATCTGAAAAATATTTGATATTTTTATAGTTAAAGTCAGTAAGTTAAATATTTTGAAAATATCGTCAATATTCGGACACATTAATTTTGAGGGCGCTAGACAGACGAGGCAGCATAACCACTCAAGAAACGATTCATGTCGACGAAAGCGCTCATACCTGGGAACTCCCAGCGGGCTCGCTCGACGGCTCTCAACGCCTTCGAGCGCTTCGCGGTCGCCGAGGGCTTCACCGTCAACGCCATCTATGAGTTTGTAGGTGGGGATTCAACTGGCGATACTCTCTACATTGTTCTCGACAAATTTGCAGTGTATTTAGCATTTAAAGAAAGCTCGAAGGGCTCGCTGCTATCCAAGAACTCGGTCGCCCGCTACTTTGGCAACGTCAAGAACCACCTACTCGAGCTGTTTCCAGCTTTAAGTGCTGTATCGGATCGTCGGCTGCAAAAGATTGCGTCAATCCTCGACAAGTACTGCTCCAAGCGAGGCACAGACTTTACGCACCAGGCCCCACTGTGCACGAAAAGCGACCTGCGCTCGCTCAGCTTAGCGATATTGAAGGGGGCTGTATCTGTGCAGGACTACCAGGATGCAGCCCTTCTCAACATTCTTTGGTATTTGCTGGGTCGGTCTTCAGACACTATGTGTCTCGTGAAAAACCAGGTCGCTGTTTACCCTGGTAAGTACTTGTCTTTTTAGTTTTCCTAATTTGGTTTTGACCTTGTGTATTTTTAATCGTGGTACACAGGTGGGTGTCTATTTATCACCTTTAAGCGCATGAAGTCTGCCTCGTATCAAGGAGCGTCGATTTTTCACGACCCAAACGATTTTTCGTCTTGCTCAATTCACGCACTAGCTTTGGCTACAATTATGCAGTCGACTCCAAGCGAGTTTCTCATGGATCAACTTCCTCGGGATACACAAGAGCTCCTGCCGACTGAAATTAGCGAAACGCCGCTCCGCGAACTACTTGATGCGCGTACCAGGTCCCCAGCAACCTCCAACTCTGAGTCGCCGACCCCAAAAGCACCTGCGAAAAAAGCGACAGTCCCCGGAATTCACGCGTATGTTAATCGCGTACTGCAGAAGTGGAGTGGTGTCTGCCAAACCGATGGTACTAACCTGACGCCAGGGCTATCATCGCATTCATTTCGGCGTGGAGCTGCTCAAAACGCGAATAGTGACAGCAAAATCAGCACACCTTGGATTCTAGACCGTGGAGGCTGGAGCATGAGTGCTGTGAGCAAAGCGTTCAATTATATTGTTGGCACGACGCAGGAAGATCAAACCGTCGGCAAGTCGTTAGCTGGATGGGATTTAAAAGCTAGTCCGCGGCTACCTACACTGGACGACTTCGATCCTCTGGTTCTGCATCGAATTCGCCTACTTCAAGACCGGCTTTTCTCGGCTGCGAAGGGGTTCACGGAGAGACTCAGCTTGCGAGATGATGTAGTGGACGTACTTACCGCCACCGCCATTCTCCACTACCCCGACATGCTTCGGCTTAGGCCAGAGTCACTGTACATCAAACGGGTTCAAGAAGTACTAAGTCAGGTACAGGCGGCAGAGGCTGAAATTGCTGCATGGTCAATGGCTATTCATCGTACCTTACAGCCGTCCAAGAACGACACTCCACGCAGTCCGGCACCACGGCGTGTTGAAGACAACGAACTCTTGCGGAGGCAAACCTTGCTCTCGGAGCAGCAGGCGCAGATCCTTGGAGGGCTAGCAGCCGAAGTGAAGGCATTGAATCAGCGGGTGCAGCGGCTTGAGCACCCATCGGACGTAACCACCGCTCCGTCGACAACAGCAGCTGGTAGTCTGTCGAGCTCGTCCAGCGCTTTGTCGGATACTGCAAGCGGCGCGGCAACTCGTGCGCATTCGCGTGCGAAGCCATTCGCGACTGTGTGGTACGAGTGGTTTCTGCCCCCGTTGCCAAGCGCGCGTCCAAACCGGCGGCGCTATCACGAGTGCAAGGTGGCCGTGGCCTTTATGCGGGTTTTTCTCCCAGCCGGATACAACGTGACCGGAGATGAGGTCACAGCAAAGGGACGCATCCTGAGCTCAGGACGGGAGGCCGAGGCAAACGTTCTTGCTTTCCTGGAGGCTGAGAACGTCAAAGCAAAGTCGCATGGCACAATTGTTAAGGTTTTGAAGCGGATGTATGCTCAAGGCAAGCTAGACGACCGCATCAGGAATTACCAGCGACTTCAGCAGGAAGGCAAGGCTCTTGAAGATGCACCGGTGCATGTTCTTGAGCCCTACAACAATCACAGCACAACGTAATTGTAGTCGCGATCCAGTGTTAGGTCCCAACACATAGTTACATCATACATAGATTCATTCACCCATCTCGTTATCTACTTACATGAAGTGAGTGTCACAGTAGATGTCCGCCGTAGGCATCTCTCTCATGTCGTTGACCCCGCTGCTGGCCGCCACCTCCACCACCTTCTCGTCCTCCTCAGCCCGCTGCTGCTGGCCTCGACGGCCGCCACCCCGCCCGACCAGCCGCAGTACGACCCGCCGTCCCGCACGGCGCCGACATCCCGCACGTCTTGCTGCTGCTGCAGCTACTGCTGTTGGCCCCAGTCCCCAAGCCGTTGTCCACTAAACAGCCGGTGTATGACAGAGGATTGCAAAAGATTTTATGTGCACCACACTTAACGGAGCATTTAATAGCATTTAGTTTTAAAGGTTGTCCGAATGTCCGAGCCGTCCGAACCTGCACGGTATGGAATTGTATATGATTAGCTTTTGGCGTCGCAGCGCAACGAAGAGAACGCTTTCTAAATGCTGAAAGCGCTCGAATAATGGTCCAACACAGCTATGGGACGATAGGAACCGTCTACTGGGTTCATTTACCTTATTTTGTGTCAGGTATCTTTGTAAGCTTGAGCTGCCAGGACAGGGTGGGGAAATCAAGGGTGGGGGTGGACTTTTGAGGTTGCAAATTCACTAATAGAATGCTTGCTACGGCCCATTGTTGCTTGGATCAGGAGACCTTTGCTACGGGTTACGAAGTATTGTTTTTAGATCACAGCAATCTTTGCGTATCATGTCTCTTTAGTAGATGTAAGGAAAACATATTCAATCAGCGGAACTGTCAACGGTAATTAAACGTGGGCGCTTTCAATATTGAGGTTGTTCCGCATAGACAACGAACATCACGACAGCACTGACTGTGATGCACCGTAATGTTACTACTTGGGGTTCTTATGATGGATGACATCTAATGGCTCTGAAGCACCAGTATCAACATCGGAAATAAGTGGGTGAATCATTTGACTTGAGTAAAGTATGCTTCCCATAACTCCCATATTCAAATCCAGAATTCTCCCTTGATAAGCGACTTTACGGGAAAATTGGGAACTCCCATCTTTAAGGAGGGCTGGTCATACCCCGTAAATGTACAGTACAACACGTACTGTAAAACCTCTAATTGTGCCCCTAGGGTACTAAGTTAGTACCCCACACACGCAAGGGAGGCACTATTTGAGGGTGGGGTACTAGCAAAAAGCCAAGTGCCCAGCTAAATACCCCCCACCTAAAATTGTCCATCAACAACTTACAGCTAAAACAATTCATTTAAAGTTCCTACCAAAATCAGTTATCATCCTTGATTTACATCCTAATCACTTGTAAGAATAGAAAATGTGGCATCCCAACAGACAACGCATACAGCACCCTTCTTATGTTAGACCGGCACCACGAAACTTCACGCTGCCAATAATTCCAAAACTAAGGTTGGGAGGGGTACTGCACTAAATTTTCAGTGGAGAGGGTACGATTAGAGGGTGGGGTACTCTTGTAAGTTCCCACCCAAAGTAATCAAAAATGAGAGGTGAGATACTAATTGAGGGTGGGACACACTTAGAGGTGTTACAGTACATTTTCATGTTTATGTTTTAGTTTGCTAAATAGTTTTGCTCTTCTCGTTTAGAGCGAGATGTTGTTTTATTTTGGATTGTAAATTCGCCGATTTAGTGGCTTATTAGGGCCGTGTTCGACTTGTACACACCATTCGAGCTCGATTCAAAAGGGACTGGTTTCGGACAAATTGTTGGTTTGGAAGGCACGTAGAAAAGGCAGGCTTATCCAGCCCGATTCAATATTTTTGCCTGGGCCCGAATTTCAAATCCAGCTCTTTTGAGCTTATCGAGCTGGATCGCTTTTTGGGTGTTTCAGGTCGCAAACGAGCTGGATGAAGCAAATCCGGCTGCATTTGGCCTAAAACAACTGGATTGGATGCAAGTCGAACACGGCCTAAGACGTAATACCCCCGATTTGACAAAATTCGAACTCCTAATTAGACCACGGTACCTTGATTTAGCATCAAGATTATTAACATGGACGACTTACCGGGAAAAATCATATGAATCGGAATTACATTTGCTAATTAGCCGATTTAGCCAAGGCCGGCCGATTTGCCTGCTATTCAGGCGGAATGTCCGATGTGTAACCGGCATTTGCCCGATGAAAGCTAAATTGGCCGCCAGACAACAATCCCTGCAGTCGCTCGTGGCAAGGTTCCACCGCTAAAAGCACAACTAAGCAAAAAAAGCTACCCGCTACGATACAGGCTGCTGAGGTATGAAGGCGGCGGCAGTCTAAGCGCGGTTACGTCGCTGAACTTTCTAAGGTATTTAGTAAAAACAAAAAATATGCGAAAAATGATCTTGGCAGACTGAGCAAAACTTCTCTCATTCAAATGCATTAACTACAACAGCCATAAATGAACAATAATATTATCTGATAATACCTGAGGACTGGTGTATCGCCTTTTAATACCAACAATCATAGCTTTGAGCCAATGACGGTAAAGTGTACTGAAGTAGTTTTACAAGAAAAAGGAGAAAAAGAAGTAAATAAATTTTACTCCCAAAAACCAACTTTACAAATAAACATGTGAGAATATGCGTAGACAAAAGTCGCGACGCTAAACTACATCGTCGGATAGCTCGCAACCAAGTTCACCGGGATGACCAATATATGCACTACATAGGTTGTATGTTGTTGTATACAAACTCCTTCATAAATTTTATCTTGGCTCAATCCTACGGTTGGATGTAGCCGTGTCTACGGGTAGGATCTTGATACGGGACATGAAGATGAAGTAAAGTATAGTCATCTCACAATAGAAATGTACCGGGAACTAAAGGGTTAACCCAGCCACTTCAGCCGTGGAATCTAACAGTTCAGGTGGGTTCAGTAATGACACCGATAATACCCTGACCGTTCAAGAGCCACGTTCAATACGGGTCGGCAAGGCGAAGGCACAATCAGCTTGTGAAGACGTTGTTCGCGACGCAGATGACGAGTCGTCAACACCCGGGGGCAGTCCAGAACGAGCTCTCAACGATGGCCCGTCGGAGTCCACCGAGGCTCCGCCGGCTGTTCAAGAGTCGATTCCAGTACCGGTCGGCAAGGTAAAGACACAACCAGCTTGTGAAGACGTTGTTCACGACCCCCTGGACGCTCGATTTGAAGATGGTGTGTCATCAGCATACAGCTTCGACCAGCATCGCGCTCGTGTTACTGGAAACATCTATCATGGCCAGTCAGGGCCGAAAGTAGCCAAACCGAAGTTACGTTCGATTGCAGACCAACCCTTGCGGTTCATCCGTGACGTTGGCGATCGCGCAGCGTAGTGCACATCAAACAAAACTCAGCGCGAGCATGATCGTGATTCTTTAAAAGACCCCGATCGATACACCATTTCCCCACGAAAAAGCAGCACAATTCATTACTTCACGTTATTTTATGTGAATGCGAGAGGCACAGATTGTTGTGTTTATAGCCAACAAGGGTAAGATTAAGTGAAGTGTTCAAACAAACATTTAGGCCGTGTTCGACTTGTACACACCATTCGAGCTCGATTCAAAAGGGACTGGTTTCGGACAAATTGTTGGTTTGGGAGGAATGTAGAAAAGGCAGGCTTATCCAGCCCGATTCGATATTTTTGCCTAGGCCCGAATTTCAAATCCAGCTCTTTTGAGCATATCGAGCTGGATCACTTTTTGGGTGTTTCAGATTGCAAACGACTTGGATTAATAAAATCCGGCTGTGTTTAGCTTAAAACAACTGGATTGGAACACGGTCTTATCTTTTTATCCCAAGTATGATATGTTTTCACTTAAGTTACGTTTTTTCTTTTTTAATAACAGCAAAAGATCTGGCTAGAATCCTTTTGATAAGAATTTACATAAATTAAGTCAAGAAATTTTAAATAAATGATACAGTGTTTTGACACTTAACACTTTTGACTTTTCCGCTTAGGCGGCGAACGTGAAAGTTTTCACTGCTGTAGCTCTTGTGCCCTTTTTAAGGTATTTAGTAAAAACAAAAAATATGCAAAAAATGATCTTGGCAGACTGAGCAAAACTTCTCTCATTCAAATGTATTAACTACAACAGCCATAAATGAACAATAATATTATCTGATAATACCTGAGGACTGGTGTATCACCTTTTAATACCAACAATCATAGCTTTGAGCCAATGACGGTAAAATGTACTGAAGTAGTTTTACAAGAAAAAGGAGAAAAAGAAGTAAATAAATTTTACTCCCAAAAACCAACTTTACAAATAAACATGTGAGAATATGCGCAGACAAAAGTCGCGACGCTAAACTACATCGTCGGATAGCTCGCAACCAAGTTCACCGGGATGACCAATATATGCACTACATAGGTTGTATGTTGTTGTATACAAACTCCTTCATAAATTTTATCTTGGCTCAATCCTACGGTTGGATGTAGCCGTGTCTACGGGTAGGATCTTGATACGGGACATGAAGATGAAGTAAAGTATAGTCATCTCACAATAGAAATGTACCGGGAACTAAAGGGTTAACCCAGCCACTTCAGCCGTGGAATCTAACAGTTCAGGTGGGTTCAGTAATGACACCGATAATACCCTGACCGTTCAAGAGCCACGTTCAATACGGGTCGACAAGGCGAAGGCACAATCAGCTTGTGAAGACGTTGTTCGCGACGCAGATGACGAGTCGTCAACACCCGGGGGCAGTCCAGAACGAGCTCTCAACGATGGCCCGTCGGAGTCCACCGAGGCTCCGCCGGCTGTTCAAGAGTCGATTCCAGTACCGGTCGGCAAGGTAAAGACACAACCAGCTTGTGAAGACGTTGTTCACGACCCCCTGGACGCTCGATTTGAAGATGGTGTGTCATCAGCATACAGCTTCGACCAGCATCGCGCTCGTGTTACTGGAAACATCTATCATGGCCAGTCAGGGCCGAAAGTAGCCAAACCGAAGTTACGTTCGATTGCAGACCAACCCTTGCGGTTCATCCGTGACGTTGGCGATCGCGCAGCGTAGTGCACATCAAACAAAACTCAGCGCGAGCATGATCGTGATTCTTTATGAAGACCCCGATCGATACACCATTTCCCCACGAAAAAGCAGCACAATTCATTACTTCACGTTATTTTATGTGAATGCGAGAGGCACAGATTGTTGTGTTTATAGCCAACAAGGGTAAGATTAAGTGAAGTGTTCAAACAAACATTTAGGCCGTGTTCGACTTGTACACACCATTCGAGCTCGATTCAAAAGGGACTGGTTTCGGACAAATTGTTGGTTTGGGAGGAATGTAGAAAAGGCAGGCTTATCCAGCCCGATTCGATATTTTTGCCTAGGCCCGAATTTCAAATCCAGCTCTTTTGAGCATATCGAGCTGGATCACTTTTTGGGTGTTTCAGATTGCAAACGACTTGGATTAATAAAATCCGGCTGTGTTTAGCTTAAAACAACTGGATTGGAACACGGTCTTATCTTTTTATCCCAAGTATGATATGTTTTCACTTAAGTTACGTTTTTTCTTTTTTAATAACAGCAAAAGATCTGGCTAGAATCCTTTTGATAAGAATTTACATAAATTAAGTCAAGAAATTTTAAATAAATGATACAGTGTTTTGACACTTAACACTTTTGACTTTTCCGCTTAGGCGGCGAACGTGAAAGTTTTCACTGCTGTAGCTCTTGTGCCCTTTTTAAGGTATTTAGTAAAAACAAAAAATATGCAAAAAATGATCTTGGCAGACTGAGCAAAACTTCTCTCATTCAAATGTATTAACTACAACAGCCATAAATGAACAATAATATTATCTGATAATACCTGAGGACTGGTGTATCACCTTTTAATACCAACAATCATAGCTTTGAGCCAATGACGGTAAAATGTACTGAAGTAGTTTTACAAGAAAAAGGAGAAAAAGAAGTAAATAAATTTTACTCCCAAAAACCAACTTTACAAATAAACATGTGAGAATATGCGCAGACAAAAGTCGCGACGCTAAACTACATCGTCGGATAGCTCGCAACCAAGTTCACCGGGATGACCAATATATGCACTACATAGGTTGTATGTTGTTGTATACAAACTCCTTCATAAATTTTATCTTGGCTCAATCCTACGGTTGGATGTAGCCGTGTCTACGGGTAGGATCTTGATACGGGACATGAAGATGAAGTAAAGTATAGTCATCTCACAATAGAAATGTACCGGGAACTAAAGGGTTAACCCAGCCACTTCAGCCGTGGAATCTAACAGTTCAGGTGGGTTCAGTAATGACACCGATAATACCCTGACCGTTCAAGAGCCACGTTCAATACGGGTCGACAAGGCGAAGGCACAATCAGCTTGTGAAGACGTTGTTCGCGACGCAGATGACGAGTCGTCAACACCCGGGGGCAGTCCAGAACGAGCTCTCAACGATGGCCCGTCGGAGTCCACCGAGGCTCCGCCGGCTGTTCAAGAGTCGATTCCAGTACCGGTCGGCAAGGTAAAGACACAACCAGCTTGTGAAGACGTTGTTCACGACCCCCTGGACGCTCGATTTGAAGATGGTGTGTCATCAGCATACAGCTTCGACCAGCATCGCGCTCGTGTTACTGGAAACATCTATCATGGCCAGTCAGGGCCGAAAGTAGCCAAACCGAAGTTACGTTCGATTGCAGACCAACCCTTGCGGTTCATCCGTGACGTTGGCGATCGCGCAGCGTAGTGCACATCAAACAAAACTCAGCGCGAGCATGATCGTGATTCTTTAAAAGACCCCGATCGATACACCATTTCCCCACGAAAAAGCAGCACAATTCATTACTTCACGTTATTTTATGTGAATGCGAGAGGCACAGGTCGTTGTGGTTATAGCATCTTCTACGCCACGGCTGACCAGCTAGTATATTATGACCAGTTGATAACTGAGGGTCCAGCTACTACTAGATGTTTTCCGAGGTCTTCATAAAGGTCTTGCGGAGGTGCCAAGGTATCACGATGCGTGCATGTTCGACGTGATTGTTAAACGGTGTAATCGGTCAGAAGACCAAGTCGCAATTAAATATTAGTGCACCTCCCTAACTTTGGTAAGAAATTAAAATGCGGTAGTACGCCTTGTTCTGTCCGCTACAGCAACTTAAAACGTTTATTCTGTTCGTGTGTACGTGTCGATACGAACCATTCTTCCTTGCCCACTCGCCAACGTCCAGACCGCCAGCTTCCATTAGGACACAGAGTAGGCATGACACTGTATTGGTAGGTTGGCAAAACCAAGCATGCATAAACATACGCACCTCCAGACTTGGCTACAAACAACACTCCGAAACCGAGAAAGGAAAAACTCCTCGCGCACAAGGGTAGCGTCAATGGCATCTTCCGTCCAGCTTCAAGAAATCTGCAAGGGTACACTTGGAATACACGGACTTCTATTGTGATGATTAATGCTCACTATGAATGCGTTTTGGAAATAGTTCAAAATTACCCCCAGCTAGGTTTTTTAAGCACAAAAAGTAGGACCGAATTTGACGACTCTCCCTTCGCCTCATTTTAACATATCCTCTACATCAAAAAGAGCAACGCGTGGTCGGTCCGTAACGCCAAGGTTACATTAATTCGGATTGGCTAAAATTGGACCCCTACTATACTTCATTGGGTAAAATTAGTCCGCTGTCGAGCGCAGCGAAGGCAGCCTCGAAAACCTCATCGTGCGTTGCGGGCCCCCAATAGAGCCCGCCCTACCCTACATTATTAACCTAGCACGGCGAGTAGTGCAGCGAGCCGACGAGGCGAGTGGAACGGGGCCACCACTGCCGTAGCGAAGCGTAGACAGCCTGCTCTAGTAGCGAGCGAGCATAGCGAGCGAAGCGCCGACCAACTAAAAATCACCGCCGCGTAGCGGCGGCGCTCGGCTAGTATATAATCAAATTGAGTATAGATAGAATGACTAGTGTTTGGTCTGTACACTGGGTGCCTACCAAAAACGGATAAAACTCGACATAGAATGCATCTCTAAATTTGTCTCTAAATATCAAATGTGCAGAGGTCGAAATATGTGAGAGGTCGCCTGATATATGCGCTAGTTGCTAGAAAAAGGACATCAATACTGAAAGCAAGTCAAATCTAATACGCTGCTGTGCAGCGACCCTTCGTTTACTCAGACGTAAAAATCGTCTGAGTAAATATAAGTTTTCTTAAATTTAAATATGTTGGGTGATTTGTTCGTTTTTGGTAGGCGTCCACTGGTGACACTGGTGAGCGCAAGAATCGCGGTTCTAATTGAGAGTCGCCAAAATCAACTTGAGAAAACCTGCACAAACGTATACTGCCATCATATAATCACCTTCGAGACTGGATATGACGTGATTGACTTGTCTACAAAAAAAACATTTCTATGCTGACCAAAAAAGTCCCTCCGCAAGGCTTTACTTTAGCGGCGCCTGGTGCGAACACTGCTAAAATATTTTTGAAAATATTAATAAAAAAATACTTACCAACTTTTGTGGAAGTGCCAGAAGCGATAGAACAAACGTCACTCTCTAGAATCATGCTCTTCCGGTCGATCGACTTGGTTTAGCGCACGGATCCTCCAGCACATCGTTCTCCCGTGGACGCAATGCAATTACCTGACTCGGTCACCCGACTCCAACTAAGTGAAGTGATCGCTGAAGAACTGAAGAATATTCTACCGCTCACAGAATTTGGCGGGAACTACCTCAGGTTGCCACCAAACGGCGCGTCGTTTCGCGTCCACTTCAAAAGTTGGTGCTGGAGCTGTCAATGCCCCATCGAGGTCTGACGATCGAATCCTCGGCTTCGACGGCCTTGGCGGTCGAAGACGAGATCATCCAGTGGCTCAGCAGCCAAGCGGACGATTCTACCGGCTGCGTGCCGCTGTACGAAGACCCCGACTTCGCCGCGGAGGTTTCGAGTCTGTACTTCGACCCTGGCAAACTACCGGACTACGTGCCTCAGCAGAGCGGCGACTCGGGCGAATCTGCTGGTTACGTGCACTGGTACCGCCCGACGGAGTTCACGGAGGACCCGGACTACTTCAAGAGCTCGTCGGGGTGTGGCGTTCTACGCGAAGGACTACTAAACGATGCGTGGCTGCTGGGCGTGTTCGCCGCTGTGGCGCTGCATCCGGACAACCTCGTGGAGAACCTCTTCGTGTCCGAGTCCCTACACGCCTTCAAGCAGTTCGGCGTCTTCACGTGTCGCTTCTACAAGGACGACAACTGGGTGCCCGTGACTACGGACACTCGCATCCCGTACTCGATGGAGCTCCAGCCGGAAGACAAGGCGTGTGGCGCCTTCTCCCCGCCAGGGTTCGCCCTCTACGGCAGCAGTGTCAACAAGAACGAAGTGTTCATCCCTTTGTTGGAGAAGGCGTACGCGAAGGTCCACGGCAGCTACCAGGCTCTGGACGAGAAGCACGGAGGCGGAGTCGGAGGCAACGCCGGCACCAGCAGTGGTCGTATCCTCGAGGCCTTTCTGGACTGCACCGGAGGGAGCGCGCACCGTGTGGATCTACAGCTCGAGCGAGTCAAGCAGCTCCAGTTCGACCAGGCCACTGCTGGGAACCCGGCGGCTGCAGCTTCGAGTCCGTCGTCGCTACTGTGGAAGCAGCTGCTGCGCTACAAGCGGAAGAAGTGCATCCTCACGACGCAGCTCCGGCAGCTTTCGTTCAACTCGCACGACGTGACGGCCATGGGGATCGTCAAGAACCGCCAGTACATTATCCAGCACGTGACGGAGCTGGGTCTCCCATCCGCGGGTGCGTCTGGACAAGGAGGTTCGGGCAACCAGCAATCAGCGGATGAGATGCTGCGCTTCGTCAAGCTCAAGACCGTTTGGGGCCGTGGCATGTGGAAGGGAGAATGGTCCAACGACGACAGCAAGTGGGAGGAGCACGCGCAGATCGAGCAAGCCATGCGCTCCGACCCGCGCTGCGAGTTCTCGCGCTCGGGCCACGACGGGTGCTTCTGGATGTTGTGGGAGGACCTGCTCGACACGTTCACGGAGCTCTTCGTGGTGCATGTTTTCCCGCCTGACGCTCGGCAGTACAGCGTTCGAGGCGACTGGGTGGGCACCACCGCTGCTGGAGCCCCCGTTAAAGCTCCAGCGCCAGCAAGTCCGGCGCCTCCACCAACTGCGGGGAGTGACGATCATCACCACAACTCGCTCCACTCACCCGGCCACTTGTCTCGATCCAAGGAGGTACTGATCGAGAAGACCAGATGGGGGTGGCTGCATGACGCCGACCCGAATTGGCATCGCAACCCGCAGTTCAAGCTGTCGGTGCCCCTCGAAAGCATCAGCACGGGGCCCGGAGAGATGAATGCGGACAGGTCGGTGAGTGGCGTGTTGCTGTCGCTCACTCAGCGGGATTTTCGCCTCTACGGAGGGGACAACTACGCCATCAACTTCGTGTTGCTGCGAGAGAAGTTGACGCTTGCGACGGCGTCCTCGAACGACCCGCCGCCTGCGATCTGGGAGTTCAAGCGCAGCCACGTCGTGGCGGAAGCTCATTCCTACGAAAACTCGGCAGCAGCCATCGACTGGTCTGGTGTTGCAGCCCCCGCAACTCCCGGCACCCCTGTCACCGCTTCACTATCCCATCCGACGACGCCCATGGCGGGTGTGGCCAACAGTGGAGGATTAAGCTCTTCGTCCGGCGGGAGTGGGGGTCAAGCCAAGACACTTCCAGAGCGAGAACTCGTCAAAGAAGACGTCACGATCTCGCCAGGAGTCGCCTACTACCTCGTGCCTTACACGACGAACCCCAAGGTCGAAATGGAGTTTTTCCTGCGCGTGGTGGCGCCCCAACCTGTGCGAGTCGAGCGCGTTCCCCCCATCATGTCGGTGATCCGCACGGGGCGTTGGCGAGCCGATGGCGGAGCATCAAGTACAGACGCCAACGGAGCTCCAACTGCAGGTTCCAGCAGCACCGGGGAGATGGCCAACGCCGGTGGCCCCTTGCTGATGCTGCCCTTGCCACACGCCCACGTAGCAGGCGAGGAGAACCCGGCGTGGTGTCAAAACCCGCAGTTCTGGGTGCGCTTTGCCGAGCGTTCACCTCGGGAGCTTCGGAGACTGCGTAAACTGCTATCGACCAAGGCGCACGTGACCATCAAGGTCGTTCTCCGCAAGACCTCCCACCGCGCGTCCCTGGGCAACAAAAGCCGCCAGCAGCGCGAAGCCGCCAAGGACCGAGCCAACCTCGTTGGAATCACGGCAGTACGGGCAGCGCCTTACATCTCCACGCCGCCCGTCGTCGTCGGGGGCTCTGGTAGCTCAGCCGCTACGCAGCTTCGAGCGCACGCCAAAGGCCAGAAGACCAACTTTCTGGGGGAAATCGTCGACTCTCCGTTCGCCAAGGCCACGGCGATAAGCGAAGGACTGATCCGCGGCACCAAGTCTCGCAACAACCAGAAGGCGGAGCGCACGGACGTGGACGATCTGAACGACGACCTGGAAGCTCCAGTCCAGGCGGAGGTTGGAGAAGTCGTAGGCAACTTCCCAACGCCCAAACTGGTCGTCAAGCCCACCGAGTGGTGCCGCTTGTCGTCGTACACTAGCCCGGCGTCCGCGTGTCTGTATCTGCGCAAGGTCCCGAAGGAGTGGCTGCTGGCCTCCGACTCGCCCAGCGTCGTGAACTCCAGTGGAGGGGGTGGGCTGTTGCTCGTTCCGACACTGGGCGAGCCTGGAGCGGAAGGCTCGTTCGAGTTGCAAGTGGACTGCGACTTCCCGTTGCTGGTGGACGAGCTGCCTAAAGGAGCGGGGGCAGTGCAGAGTATCCCGGGCGAGTGGACGCCCACCAAGTCGGGGGGCTGCCACCTGCACCCGGACTGGAGACAGAACCCCAAGTTCTACCTGCAGATGCAGGGCGTGCGTCCCACCAAAGTGCGGATCACGCTCACGCGCTCCGAGCGCGAGTGGAAGTCGCGCTGCCAACGAGACTCGGTGGGGACCATGATCGGCTTTTATCTGTTCCGAGGCGGCTCGGGCAAACTCATGCGACCCGGGGAGTCGTCCGCTGACGGGGACTCGGGCGCTACGACGCACCCCATTGTGATTAATGGGCGACAGTGGAGCGAGACGGACTTCGTGCCTCTGCATACAGTCAGCTCGCCCCCGGAGCTCGTCCTCTCCTCGGCAGCAAAAGGCGGGTATGTGATCGTGCCAGCTACCTACGAGCCTGGAAGGCTGGGCAAGTTCGTGCTCTCAGTGCAGTGCGACACAGAGTTCACACTCACGGGCGACTCCGAGACGTAAGAGCTGACAGAGAACAGTAAAATAAGACCCATTTAGTTTATCGCTCTCCAACTCTTCTATCGGATACGAGGAGACTGTGGACTGTGTAGTGTAGTTAGTGGCCCAGAGCTTCAGGCTGTCGTGTCATGCTGGACGAGGTACTAGATAATACCGGACCCGACGCGAAGCAGTCTGCAACAACGTGGTCCCACCACTGCTTCTGCAGGCCGGGGAAGTTGCACTGGTTGCGGTTCTCGCAGTCCATGGGGGAGGCCAGCGACTGCTGGTCGCTGCCTTCGTCGTCCGTCTCGTTCGTGGGCAAACTCAGGCAATTGTTGTCGCCTGTTGCCGCCGCCTTGGGGTTCATCATCTCGACGCAGTCGAGGAACAGGTCGGCCGAGTTGCTGCGCTCGCGGCCGGGCGTCTCCTGCCGCCTCAGGATTTCCACCCTTGACTTGCCCACCCACCGCTTCTTGTCGGTCCACGCGCTCTCCATTGGGGCTATAGGCGTATCCAATACACTGGACGGCGTGTGACTCCCACAGCTGCTACTGCATGACGACAGTTCATTGTCCATCAACTGCAGTCCAGGCAGTCCTCTCCAGGCTGACTGGTGGTTCTGCAGCGTCGGCCCTTGGTACGGCGCAGTCGCGTCCAGCGTCACGACACTCGACGGTCTCCGAGCCGGAGGGGACTGGAACGCTGGGAATAGAGTCTTGGGCGACGGCAGAGTCACGGGCATCGGCAACGGCGTCATCGCTCCTCTCTGCGACAGCCTCAGGGGCGACAGCAACGTCGGAATGCACGAGTAAAACCCGCCACAGGCAACAGGCGAGCTCACGGACAACGGAGACGCCACACTGAGCGCCATGGAGGCTGAGGCAGCCCCACTCCATATTGAAGCTGCACCGGATGTTGAAGTTGCCTGGACCTGTTCCTGCTTCATTGAGTCACCAATTGCAATTGCATTTGCAATTGGAGTTGCCTGAGCTTGGACTTGAGCTTGGGCTTGGGCTTGCGTGGCTTGACTCTGCTTGGCCTTTTCGTTGAGCTTGGCGGCTTGTCTGCAGCGGCGGCGGTAGGTCGAGTACCAGTGGTTCTTGATGGCGTTGTCCGTGCGGCCGGGCAGCAGCTTGGCGATCTCGGCCCAGCGGTTGCCGAGCCGCTCCTGGGCCGCCAGGATGAGCTGCGTCTCGTCCGCGCGCCACGGAGCCTTGTCGATGGCCGGGTCCAGGAAGTTGAGCCAGCGCGTGCGGCACTGCTTGGGCGTGCGGCCCGGCAGCAGCGCCGCGATCTTGGCCCAGCGCTTGGTGCCGCACTCGCGCACGAAGCGCAGGATCACGGCGTCGTCCTCGGGCGTCCACGCGCGGCGCTTGAGGTCCGAGCCAGAGACAGCGGCGCATAAGATGGGGGAGTCTCCGCAGACGCTGCTGCTGGCCGAGGACAAAGTCGGCGAGTCCGTCGCCGCCGAGGGGAACGTCATAGTTTGTGCTGCCATGGGATAAGGGGAAATGCGCGCGGTTAGGCACTCCTCTCACTGTCGCATTTGCGAATGACGGCGCTGCTGGTTAACACCTCTTGCACGAACGCTGCGTGTTGCCTTCGCCTCCTCCTTTGGTGGTCGGGCGGTTGGTTGGTTTTTGAAGCGAGCTCGAGACCTTTGGGCTCGTTGAAACGGCCAGAAGGGCGCCATTGGCTGCGAAATCCCGGCTTGCGACGCTCGGATTGGCTGAAAAGCGCACGTAACGGTTCCGAGCACATAGCCGGGGCAAACGACCTTTCAAAAACAAAGAAGGAAAATGAGGGGATGGGCCGACGAGCTCCGCTTCGAGCTCGGGCTCAGCTCGGTCACGCGCCGCTGTTGCCTGGACACTTGCGGCGATGTATTGGCGGGCTCGGCAACACCTCGCATGGTGCAGAGCAGCCTTGCGTTGCCTCACGCGTTGCAGGCTGCAGCCTGGCGTTGGCAACGGCGCCCGTCGACGGCAGATGGCTGGTGGCGCCAGGTGGCCGTTGAAACCCCGGAAGAACAGCGTCGAGACCGCGAGAGGGGCGGGGGGCGGAACATGGCTTGACTTGACCTCAGTGCCGACCACCAGTGTGCCAGGTGAATAGCTTGGTGCTTGCTTGCAGGAGGCAATGGCGTCGTTTGCCCCGTGGATATGAGCACCGCAAGGCGCAGCAAAGGCCTCGCCTCTTTCGTGTCGACAATTGGCTCGGCCTGATTCACGGTGCGACTGGTGCTGGGACCGTTTCGCTAACGAGACACGTCACGCTTCCCTTCCTTTCTCCAGCCAAAATCAGGCGCTGACTGGCTTGCCTTGGGTTGGTTGCCCTTGAATCGAGTGCCGATCACCTTTCGAGCACGTTTCCGCTCCATGCTGCTCCTCAAAAGCAGATTGCAAAGTAGTTGTGGCTCAGCGGTGGCGAGCACTGTGGTGGTGGGGGCTTTTTTGCCGTTGGGCTACCGGTACGTGCCTTGGAAGCAGGACAGCGCCGTTCAACGGCATCCAGGAATCTCGTCCCCAACGTTGAAAGTTGCAAGTCCATTGTGGTGTTGGTTTCGGATGCCACAGCTTACTACGGCAGCTTACTACGGTAGCGCGAGATGGGTGAGGATTGTTGAGACCACAAGTGCGTCTGCGTGGCGCTGACTAACATGTAAACACAACAAGCAACCTCGCCGAGTGTGCTGCAGTTCCTCGGCCATGTGGTCGCAGTTGAGCGAGAATTTGACTCCTTTGTGATCACGATTATATTTCTGAGCTGTTGAAAAGCAATTGACGATCTTCTGACGGCAAACTCTTCTCGTTATCGAGATGAGTAGTTTGTTTGGCGATGCGATTTCCATGATAAGCTGATACAAGGCTCAGGTAGTGCCGCCGGAGGTTGGTACAAGAACATCACCGTTGGCTAGTAAAACGGACTACTACGAGAAAAAAAAGGAATACGATCTAACTGCCTCATCGACCAACGTAGAATTTGGCCCAACGACCAAGACGCTCGCTCCGATATCCTTCTTACTCTCCGAAATCTCTGGTACTCCACAAGTGTCAGAATGGCTACGAGCAAGACTCGAGCTGCTTCCAAGAGCAGTCAGCTTTTCGCGCACGTCAAAGCCCAAGAAGAGCGAAAGCTGGTCGACAAGCTCCGTGACGTCGGCCTGGGCCAGTACATTGAGTTGCCTCAGATCGCCGTCATGGGCGACACCTCCAGTGGGAAATCCTCGCTACTGTCGGCTCTGTCGGGCGTCTCCTTCCCGTCCTCCGACCAGCTCACGACGAGGTGCCCCACGCAACTCGTTCTCACGCGGGCCGACGCTTTCCGAGGCACCGTCCGACTCGTTCGATTCCAGTCTGGCAATAACAGTGACAACGATGACGGGTAGGAGAAGGCGGATCTGCAACGACTGGAAGACGTCCCCGACGCCATCACCAAGCTCGCCCAGAAGCTGGTGGACGAAGGCCAGTACATCAGCGACGACCAGATCGTGATCGAGATGTGCGGGCCCGACCTACCGAACCTCACGCTCACGGATCTGCCGGGTCTGGTGCGCACGGTGGGCGACCACGAGGACCAGAGTATCATCCCGAGGGTGCGGCAGATGGTGGACCGGTACATGCAGCAGGAGCGCACCGTGATCATCGCGGTGGTGCCGGCCAACGTGGACATGCACAACATGGAGATCTTGCAGGCGGCGCAGGAGGCAGACCCGAACGGGACGAGGACCATCGCGGTAGTGACCAAGGTGGATCTGGTGGACGCTGGCGCCGAGCTGGCGGTGCACGAGCTGCTGCTGAACAAGAAGAAGCGCATGCACCTGGGCTACCACGCAGTCAAGTGTCGGAGCCAGCGCGAGTTGACCAAGGGCACGAGCATCGAGAAGGGCGTGGCGAACGAGTTGGCGTTCTTCGGTCAGCACGAGTACTGGTGCAAGCTGCCGACGCATCTGTGGGGGGTTCCGAGGCTGAGCGAGCGGTTGGTGTCGATTCTGCAAGACAACATCCGTCGTTCATTGCCGAAGGTCATCGCGGAGATCAGCACGCGCATGGCTGAGACGCAGAGGGCATTGTCGAGTTTGGGCACGCCGTTGGATTCACCGGGAGCGCAGCGTCAGCAGTTTGGCAAGTGGGCTGAGCAGTATTTGCGTCTAATGGAGGCAGCTATGGGCGGCCAATATGAACTCCTGTCCCCGCCTAGTATGCGCCGGCGTGTGTCAGAAGAAGACACGACACCGTGTTCGTCACCTCTGGAGGTGAACGCTCGACTTCGAGCTGCACTTCGAGTGGAGGAAGAGATATTCCGCAACAGAATCACCAAGACAAAGCGCCAGATCATCAGCTCTAAACCCCAAGACGAGGTGGCAGTCGGTGATGCGGTGCAGGTAAAGGTTGGTGGTCGCTGGCTCGACGGTCACGTGGAGCAGATCAAAAATGACTCGACAGTTCCCTGTAAGGGGTACAGCAACGCGTGGAGGTTGAAGGAATCCTGGCGCTTTGACGAGCGCCCCATGCTGAAGAAGTTCATCCAAGCGAATCGTGGCGACGAACTCGCGACTTTCCCGTCGTATCAAGTGTTTTGCAACCTTTTCCGCCAGTGCGTGGACAAATGGGAGCCGTCAACGAGGAAACTCGTGCGGTTTTACCACGACCAAACCAAGCTGGTGTCGGACTGTGTCGCTGATGAGCTCAACGCAGCCACTCGAGTGGTGCAGTTCATTAAAGGGACGGCTGCCTAGGTCCTCGATGAGGTTGCTGAGACTACGAGTGAAGAGATGAACACGTTCCTACGCGCTGAAAGTCGCCCGTACACGCAAGACCAACGCTTGTTCACCGAGCTGGATCAACAGCGTTTGAAAGATCTCCAGGAGCAGGTGAAAGGTGCGGTGAACGCTGATGCAAACGGCATGGTTGCTCTGGGTGAGGTCATGAACGTGGTGGCGTCGGGTGTGCTCACAACGAAAGACCGCGAGGTGATGGAGATGCAAGTGGCCCTACGCGCGTACTTGGACGTGGAGGTGCCTCGCTTCGTGGACGCGATCCCGATGCGGCTAAACGACTTGGTGCTTCGAGCGTTTATGGCTGAGATGGCCAGCGAGCTCAACAGCTTGACGGACGAAAAGCTCACGCGCTTGAGGATTCGGAGCAGAAGATGACGGAGCGCCAACAACTCAAGGAGGAGCTCGGTTGTCTGGCCACCGCTAAGAGGGAGATTGAGTTGGTGTGTTAAGGAGGAGGAGAAGTGGGAGCTGCGTATTCATTCAATGCAAATTCATGCACTTACCCTCCTCGGAATCAACTCGGTAACTTACCAGTACCCGCTATTCTCAATGGTCTGTCGTCCATTCTCAAGAGTTTCCAACTCGTCGACAAGTTGTTGACGGCGCACCGCCTTGTCATCGCTCTCTTGCAGCAGCTCATCGACCTTTTCATCCGTGGCGGCTCCCAGCAGTTCACTCTCCATTCCACGAAGGAATGACTCCAGCAGTACCCCATTCAGCTTCATAGGAACCACATCGACGAACCGATGCGAGGCCACCTTCAGATACGCACGCAGCGCGACCTCCATCTCCAGAGCCTCACGATCGTCCGAAGACAATCCAAACGGCCCCATCGAAATCCCTGCCAACGCTCGAGTGACGTCGGCAATCGATACCAATCCGTGCTTATTCCCGGCAGGAAGAGCAGCCTCGAGTCGAGCTTGCAGCGCTTGCTGGCGAAGTCGGTCCAATTCGTCGTATAGACGCTGGTCTTGGGTATAGGGCCGAGATTCGTGCTGCAGCGACAACGCCAACTCGCGCTGAGCGGATTCCTTCAGAACTTCAAGCACTCGATCCGTGGTTTTCTTGAATAATCGTTCGACTCGCACATTCCCGCTGTCTGCCAGGAGCACCGAGACCAACTGATGCGAAGTCGAACTTGTCTGGGTATGATACTGCTCGAGTAGCTTGGTGGCAGGCAGCACCCATTCTCTCACGCAGCGCTGCACGCAGCTACAAAACACTCGGTACGAAGGGAAAATGGCGAGTTCGTCGCCCCGATTTGCCTGGATGAACTGCTTCAGCATTGTCGGCGCATTGATCTGACAGTCATCGGTTGTATTCGAAGCAAAAGACCAACGAGAAGCTCCGAGCCATTCGTGAGGAAATTCGTCGCATAGCACATCGGTACCGCGGGTCTCGAGTACCTTACAGGTTATTGTACTTCGACGACCAAGCTTCACAGCGACAATGTCCCCAACGACAACATCCGTTCTCTCATGATTGGATTGCATCGAGTTACCAGACCCAAGGACTCCGTTTGCCCCGGACGCCTCGATTTCCGATCGAAAGACGAGCTCCTTTTGCCTCAAAATTGCTCGCAAATGTGCTTCGGGCAATCCCCCCGGAGCGCTGGATGATCCAAGAACTGAATGGATTTGTTCGTACTCCCCGGACATTGCTGCTTCCATTAGACGCAAGTATTGGTTGACCCACTTGCCAAACTGCTGACGCTGCGCTCCCGGTGAATCCAACGGCGTGCCCAAACTCGACAATGCCCTCTGCGTCTCAGCCATGCGCGTGCTGATCTCCGCGATGACCTTCGGCAATGAACGACGGATGTTGTCTTGCAGAATCGACACCAACCGCTCACTCAGCCTCGGAACGCCCCACAGATGCGTCGGCAGCTTGCACCAGTACTCGTGCTGACCGAAGAACGCCAACTCGTTCGCCACGCCCTTCTCGATGCTCGTGCCCTTGGTCAACTCGCGCTGGCTCCGACACTTGACTGCGTGGTAGCCCAGGTGCATGCGCTTCTTCTTGTTCAGCAGCAGCTCGTGCACCGCCAGCTCGGCGCCAGCGTCCACCAGATCCACCTTGGTCACTACCGCGATGGTCCTCGTCCCGTTCGGGTCTGCCTCCTGCGCCGCCTGCAAGATCTCCATGTTGTGCATGTCCACGTTGGCCGGCACCACCGCGATGATCACGGTGCGCTCCTGCTGCATGTACCGGTCCACCATCTGCCGCACCCTCGGGATGATACTCTGGTCCTCGTGGTCGCCCACCGTGCGCACCAGACCCGGCAGATCCGTGAGCGTGAGGTTCGGTAGGTCGGGCCCGCACATCTCGATCACGATCTGGTCGTCGCTGATGTACTGGCCTTCGTCCACCAGCTTCTGGGTGAGCTTGGTGATGGCGTCGGGGACGTCTTCCAGTCGTTGCAGATCCGCCTTCTCCTCCCCGTCATCGTTGTCACTGTTATTGCCAGACTGGAATCGAACGAGTCGGACGGTGCCTCGGAAAGCGTCGGCCCGCGTGAGAACGAGTTGCGTGGGGCACCTCGTCGTGAGCTGGTCGGAGGACGGGAAGGAGACGCCCGACAGAGCCGACAGTAGCGAGGATTTCCCACTGGAGGTGTCGCCCATGACGGCGATCTGAGGCAGTTCGACGTACCGGTCCAGGCCAATGTCCCGAAGGTGGTCGATCAGCTTTCGCTCGTCCTCACTGGAGCGTGCTTGGTCCAGCAAAATCTTGGTGCTTTTGATCTTCATGATGTTTGATGTCTGTCGGATAGAAAACACCAGTTAGCAACGCGTTGTGACCGCGCGGTAGATAGGGATTGACCAACGTGTACGCTCTCAACAAACCGTTATCATTCGCTTGGTTGTCACCCTGTCGTTGAGGACGACGGTCAATATCGCGCGAATCAAGTGAAATGGTGATGTGTATTTGGATACGACCACGGTGTGGTGCCATTCACCTCGTGCAAGGCAAGACCCGTCCGCCTTATTAGGCCCAGCTCCACGGTTGCTCTTCTTGGGCCTCTTCATACTCACGCAGGAGCTTCAACTGCATTTCTTCCTCTTCTGCCATGCGAATCGCCAGTTGCTTGTCACTCGCTTGCTGTGCCACGCGAGCCAATTCTTGCTGCTGAAAAATCTGCATAGACCACGTCTCGAGCTCCAGCGCGTCCAGCGCCTCCTGATTCCTCTGCAAGCGCTCGAGCAGATCTTTGCGCTCGTTCTCGAGCCTCATTCTCTGCTCCAGCTTTTGCTCCAGCGTCAGGAGCGGGGTCGTCGGGAACAGCGCCAAAGCGGGAATAGCAGTGGACCCCCACGCGGACGGAGCGGGTGGAGACTGCGGCACTGGCGAGTTGAAGAGCGCTGGATCTGCAGCTTCATGGTGGCGGCCCGACGCATCGTGCCACACTGGTTCCACCCACACCTCTTCCTCGTCCTGCTTCAAGTACACCAGGTCATGGATGGCATCGTCCAGCGGTTTGACAGCAACGCGGTACTGATGCTGCTCCTGTATGTCCAAGAACCAGTCGTTCAGCGCGTGCAGCCACGAGTGGATCTCGATGAACCAGTTCTTCTCCAGGAACTTGGTCAGCAGCTCCTTGGTTGCCTCCTTCTGGTCTGCTCCGCTGCCTCCAAGCGCGCCGTCGCCCATCACCAGCACGAGCGTGTTCGTGTGCTTGGCCGCGCCCGCCGTCTCGAGCAGATCCAGCAGCACGTAGTACAGCCCCTTGCTCCCGCTGGAGCTTAGACTCAGCGCGTTGATCTCCCAGTCGAACTCCTGCAGCGGCAGCGCCAACTCCCGCGGCATTTTGCGGTACGCCGCCAGTCGGCGCTTGACCAGACCCGCCTTCTTGCCGCACACGCGCTCCGTCAGCGCCCGGAAATTCAGGCGCACGTCGTAGCCACTGCGCGCGCCCTCAATACGTTGATAGAGCCACTGACTATTGCACACGGCGCCCGCGATGTTGTCGAGATTCATAAAAACATGTCGATGGCGACTGCCGACGGCGTATTTGCCCGTCGGGAAGCCTGCTAACCTGGCTTTGCGTCGCTCAATGTCGCTCGTCTCCTGCTCGAGCATCAGGGCTCTCTTGCCGTCCTGATAATAGTCCCCCAAAGGCAGCGGCGGCGCGTCCAGAGGCTTCACGGGGCTGCTGCAGCCGCTACCGCCGTAAATCTGCTCCGGACGGAGACTGGGCGAGCTCGCCTTGCGCTCAAAGTCCTTATTACTGCTGGAGGCGCTGTGCTTCCCCGTGAGCAGCTTCTTGAGGTATTTGTCCATGAATTTCGTGCAGAAGCCCTCGAGCTCCGAGTACTTCCAGTCCTTGGCGGCCTTGTAGCACGCCTCGAGCGTCACGAGCTGCACGCGCCACTGCGCCTTCAAGTAGGCGTCGACGCAGCTCTTGAGGCTCTTATTGAGGGCGCCTGTGGCCAGCACGAGGGTCTTTTTAGCAGCAGCAGAGCCGCCTCCGCCAGCCTTGGCCAGATGCCGCTTGAGCATCTTCTCGAGCGTCGGGTGCAGCGGCGTGCCCTTCTGCGTGAGCTTCCAGTCCACTGCGGCGCCGCCGTCGCTGCGCACGCCCTCGAGCGCCTTGGCCTCGGCCGCGTTCGGGTTGGCGCAGTACGTGCCTCGCCAGCACTGCACGCGCGCCGGCTGCTGGTCGTTCAGCAGCACCGTGAGCTTCTCCGGGGCCAGCGCCACGTCCGAGCCGAAGCGCGCCAGCTCCGTGTGGAACTGCGCCTCGTGCGCCAGCACGTGCTCGCGGGCCGCCTGCAGGAGCGAGTCCAGGTCCAGGAACACGAAGCGCTGGTCCGCGTCCTTGCGCGCGCTGTTGTTGCTGCTGCTGCTGGCTCGGGGCATTGCGGGGGCGTGAGAGAGTGTTGGACGTGCGCTATACTCGGCGAAATGGATAATGCGGTGCCACGGCGAAATGCGCGAAGACGGCAGTGCGGCGGGGGAGTCCGCGAGAGTGACGGGGCAACTTCAACATCGGCGGTGAGCGGGAGGAAGCAGCTGGGCAGTGTTAGCTAGAGCTGCTGTTTGAGTGCGCACTGTGGCGACGTCGAGGCGTTGACATGAGAGGCGGCGTTAACGCCGCTTTAGAATGGCGGGCGAGCGTCGAGCGTTCGGTGCATTTCATGGAGACGATCGCCATGCTGATCGTTCTGGGGATGCCGACACTGGCGATCGTAGAGCAGACTACAGTACAGTACTCTCGCGTCATTCCATCGGATGGCGCTAGCTTGGGATGGGTTCAAATATTCGGCCGAGCTTCTACCAGAAATCGACATCGATCGTTTGTTTTCTTATTTCGCAGTTTATTCTGCTGACAGACTCGGACTTACGTGCATGTGCTGCTTTCTCTTTGCTTTGTAGCCCAGTTGATCGATTCTTCACAATAGCATCGGTGCGAGCACCGTATCAGGTAGGTAGAAGGACAACAGCGCTCCATACATCTTTTGTCACTGATGTCAAGTAGCGATGGCTATCCTGACTTCGTGTCCATACAAGCACCAGAAGGGATTAGTTTCGATTTTCGATTTTCGATCATGGCATTGATTCAGGCCAAAGCCACTACGTCGGCAGGCCTGCGATCTTTATTTTTACGCTAGCGTTTCAGTCAAAACGAGCACCTTTCGGGTGAGAGTGATGCTTGGACTACAGAGCTGCAGCAGGCTCTCCATTACTGCTCCAACAGGCCAAAATGACACTTCAACGTAACCAACCAATAATATGCGAGTACCAAAACCCAGGTACATTCCCAATCAGCAAGTTACAAAACGTAACCTAAATATTACAGTGGCGACTATTGCAAAAAAGGGCGCCAGCATTCGAAAGTTCAAAAGTTCAAAACTTCAAAGCTGAAGTGCACCCGAGTGTGTGTCAACCGCCGTCCACCTTCGTCTCATCTGCTTGTACCGTGTAGCTGCGCACATTGCCAATTGCACTGCAACTGTCGGTGGTGAGATGGCAGTGCGCTGCACGGTGGAGCTGCAATTGGCGGACGGATCCACCGGCCGCAACCTCTCCACGATGGTCTATCCTAGAGCAATGGTGCGTGCGTTTGACTGTATCATCAATGCCCAACACAAGCCAGCGCTGCACCGATCTAATTGACCTCTCGCCTGTGTGACTGTCAGCTTATTCGGCGCCGCGGTGGACTGGAGGTGATGAGCGACGACCCGCCACTTCACAAGGCCATCAAGGTCCAGGCGCACAAGTACGAAGTCTACTCGAGTTTCGCAGCTGCAGGCAAGCTCGCGCTCATCAGGTTCGTATGGCTGCCACACACAAGGGTGCAGCGCAGTCGCTATATGCTGTATATTGATGGAATACTGGCGGTGTATTGCAGGCGCGAACGCACTCGGATCACCCAGTTTAACCTGCGCGAAGGAGACCCGGACGAGATGGTGGCGCTGCGGGACTTTTGCATCCGGTCGGGCGGCATCTCCAAGTCTCGGGCTCTTGCTGCTGTGCCAGTACCGGCGACAAGGAAGCCCGTGACAGCTCCACCGTTGACTCCTATGCACGACCGCCGAGCTGGTGTCAAGCGTTCACGAAGTGCACTGGCAGATTTGACCAACAGCTCCCAGTCACCAGGGTCGAGTGCTGACAGACGTCGACGGCAAAAGTCCTCGCATCATGCCACGTCCCCACTGCGGTCCGACCACAGGAACACTACTTTGACATCGGAACAGGAGCGTGTGCTGGAGCTGGTTGCGCGAGGCAAAAACGTATTCTTCACGGGCAGTGCTGGCACAGGCAAGTCGTTCCTGCTCCAGCATTTACTGAAGCACGGATGCGGGCATGCTATGGGGCGCGTGTTTGCCACTGCCACTACGGGTATCGCTGCGTACAATATTGGAGGCATGACGCTCCACCATTTCGCAGGCATCGACCCGCGTGCCCACACGTCAAGGCAGGAACTCCTCAAACAGATTGCGCGCAAGAAAGATGCCGTGGCTCGGTGGAAGCTGGCGCGTGTGTTGGTTATCGACGAGATTTCTATGCTGGACGGACGGCTGTTTGAGGATCTGGAGGCTGTTGCAAGGCAGATTCGCCGCAACTCGTCGTTCTTCGGTGGTATCCAGCTCATTCTTTCGGGTGACTTCTTCCAGCTGCCACCAGTTGGGCGACGTGCGCGAGGGCAAGCCGGTGAAGCTGCACCACCGCCACCGTTGCTTTGCTTCGAAAGTAGCGCGTGGGTAAGAGGTGTCACCGAAACGGTTGTGCTCAAGGAGATCTTCCGCCAGCGGGACGACGAGTTTGTGCGCATTCTCAATGCCTTCCGGGTCGGAAGGCCTACAGCTGCGATGATCAACAAGCTCAATGAGCGCTACAAGCCGAGTGCGGGTAGCGACAGCGACGATGCCATCCACATATTCTCTCACAACGACGACGTTTTGCGGGTAAGCTTAATCGACGCACTGTTGTTGCTCGCACGATGGATACTCACTATTTGTTTTACGGTATCGACAGACCAATACTCGGGCCCTCGACGAGCTGGGAGGGAAGAGGTTCAACTACGTCTCAGCGGATCGGTGCGTGCAATTCATAGAGCAAATAGGTGCTTCATCGCATGGATTTCACCAACTAACACTCATCCTGGATGGAATGTCTACACATAGCGGTAAAACGGAATTCCTCAGCGCGTGTCCTGCGGCGGCGAAGCTGTCGTTGAAGAGTAAGTTGAGCAGTTTATTGCAATCGGTGTCTTCATGAAGTTGGCAGGTTACTAACTTTTACTATAACTGTGTGATTTCCATCGTTTAGAGGACGCACGGGTTCTGCTAATCAAGACGCTCAGCCCCACGCGGGGTCTGGTAAACGGCTCGCGGGGTATTGTCGAGGGTTTTACACCGCAGTCGAACCTGCCTATCGTTCGCTTTTCCAACGGCGTGACGGAGATCATCGGACAGGAGGAGTTCTCTGTCAGCGTCGCGGACACGGTGCTCGCCTCTCGACGGCAGCTGCCGCTGGCGCTGGCCTGGGCCATCAGCATCCACAAGAGCCAGGGGCTGTCCTTCAACGCCGCCGTGCTGGACCTGTCGCGCGTGTTCGAGTTTGGCCAGGCCTACGTGGCCTTGTCGCGCGTGCGTTCGCTGGAAGGCCTGCGTCTACGCGCAAGGGTGCGCGACAAGAATGGCGGGCGGCTGCTGGCGGACGCGCGGGTGGTGGACTTCTACGATTCCATCTCGAGCTACTGAGCTGCTGCTACTCACCATATTCATGGTACTGCTTTGTATTTATTGTAATAGACTGCGCACATGTACACATACTGCCGGTCTAGTATTGCAGCCATTCTTCTTGCCGCGGCATCCGACGCTGCTCTACGGACGCCATCGCCGACGGCGGGCGGATACTTTTCTAGCCGGTGGATATGGCTACAAAGAGTGGTCTAATAGAGCATTTTGGTATGGCGAGCGCTCTTCAAGCGTAATTCTCGAACGAGAATTACGCTTGAAGAGCGCTCGCAATTTCGGGTGTGCCACATACGTGCAACCCTGGCGCAACATTTGATCAGGAGCCACTCCGTTTTGGCCAATGGGCACTGCAGGAGCGCGCCCTAGCCCGCCTGCATTTGGTTGGTCCGAGTGAAGCGGGGCTCTCGCTGACTTGGCTTTTGTATGGGCCTCGTTTTGAAGGCCGGTTTGTATGGCCAGCCTCGCGCCGCAGCGTTCCCCGCCTCCGCTAGACTTATTTTACCCTTCCTTCCGCTCCGCGTTAAAGTCCCAAGCCCGAATCCAAGATGGTACGGCCCGCCCGGCTTCTCTCTGTGTAGCAGGCCGCAGACGCAGCGCATCATGGCGCCGCGTCACGAGCGTCCGCTCCCGTCTCCGCTTGCTCGGCGTCAGCGTACGAGCCGCGCAACATTAGCAGCAGCCTCAGCAGCTACAGCGCAATGCGTCCGTCAATCAGAACAGGAACTAGCTCCACCCCTCAGAGGGCAGCGATGACCCAGCAAACAGGCGGAGACGGATGCGAAGCACTGCGCGCCATAGCGATTGGGACGCTCGCTGACAGGACCGAGAGACTGACGCTGTTTCTGCTTGTGTCAATGTAGACGAAAGGTACGCAGAGCTTCGGTATGCGCCACAACAAGACCCACACCATCTGCAGACGGTGTGGGCGCAGCTCTTACCACATCCAGAAGAGCACCTGCTCTTCGTGTGGCTACCCCGCTGCTAAGATGCGCAAGTGTAAGTACTCAGCAATAATTCTTAGGTTACACTCGACTTGAAGACACTCCAGCCAGGTGACTGATCGAGATCTCGCTGTTGCGTGTCCGATATTGCAGACAACTGGAGCCAGAAGGCCCTGCGTCGCCGCACCACTGGCACTGGCCGCATGCGCCACCTGAAGAACGTCCAGCGCAAGTTCAAGAACGGCTTCCGCGAGGGCTCGTCGGCTGTGTCGAAGAAGGCCGCCACCAACTAAGTACGCTCGACCACTCGAGGGGAACAGGAACAGGCAGCTTGGGGTAAAAAATCAACAGCTTGCTAGCGAAGCGACAGGAAGACGGTGACGGGGAGCGTGGAAGACGTTGGGGACGAACCGGAAAGTGGAATGTGGAGCTCCTTAAGTGACAGCGACGACTGGCGACACAGGCGAAAGCGTGCGGAGACGACCGTCCTGGCCGCTTGATCGAGCATCATGAGACGCCTACGACCTTCCAATCCAATATTCACATCCTTTAGCCGTTCCTGCACTTGGAGTTTTGTGAGTCTTTTACTTGTGCGTTGGTAGTTGTGCTATGCTGCAGTGGTGTCTTCTCCTAGGTTCTCGAGGATGCTGGCTTGCAGACGGCCGAAGGACGACGACAAATTGTCGAGGATCTCCAGGTCCTCCTTCTCGCGCAGCTCGCTCTCAGCGCGCAGTTGTGCACGCAGCGCCACAAGCCCTCGCATGTGTGAAGTCTGGTCTCGCTCGACGTTGCGGTTGTCAACGCGCATAACGTGGTGGAACTCTTCCTCGCGCTCCTGGAACTTGGCGACGCGGCGCGCAGTCTCGGTGCGGAAGCTCGCGTCCGTCTTGCGCTCGTTGCTCTCGAGCGCGTTCAGCGTCTTCTTCTCGCGCTTCTGGATCTTGGCGTTCTCGATGTCGAACGTCTCGTGGTTCTTCTCGAGCTTTCGGGTGATGGTGCCCTGCAGCTTCTCCATGATCTCGGGCACCGTCGTGTACGCAAGTGTGCGGAATTCAGATTCGCATTCGTGCAGTCTGGTGGAGATCAAAAGTCCCAAAGGTTAGCGAGAAGCATCAGCTGAAGACAATAGGAACACTACCAAGCGCACTTTTTCTCTTGGCAAGTAATCTCCTGCGCCTCAAGCTTGGCGAAATGCGAGAGCGTCTTCTGCTCGAGCGTGAGGAAGGCGGTTTGGAACTGCTTCCTGAAGTCCACCCGCAAGCTTTCAATGGAGCTCATCATGTCCTCGTGCTCCGAGCCAAGCTTTGCCTCAAGGCCCCGACCTCGTTGCTTGACCGCGTCCTAAAAGTGAAAAGAAAAGCGTTTAGCCTGCCTCAAACCTCGCAAACGATGTTGCCCAACTGCGATGTGGCGTACAATGCGCGCCTGGAAATCGACGTTGTAGGCGTGCACTGCGGCCTTGAGCTCCTCCATGTCGACTTCGAGGTCCTCTTCAGCATCTTCGATCTGGTCTGCTCGCTTGGACTCGGGCGGGAAGTCGTTAGGTGGTCGAATCTATCGCGGTACCAGTAACACAGCATTGTCATCAGGTTCTCCATTCTCAAGTACCCAAGAGCTGGCAATGCACAACTTTACCACTCGAGACGGCGGACCGCCAGGGGGAGCGATCGTTTCATTGTACCGGGCTCGGTAAGCCTGCACCGCGGGAGCAGGCGTCACCGTTGGTACAGCGACTTCATCCTTAACCACCTCATCGACAGCAACGAGCACCTCGGCTGCACCTGAAGCATCGGACTCCATGATGTATCCACCTAGCAACAGTGCTGCGTTCTTTTGGCGCTCTGTAGCCACGCTATAAACGGCAGTCACTGCGCCTCTTCAAACCAATCTCGACCGCCGCATCCAGGGATAAACTAAGCTTACTAAGTACCTGGCGAGGTGAGAACAGTCTCCTTGCCAACTAAGAACGAGACTCAGGATCAGGATACAAACTTGGACGTCAACCAGCAGGTCAGCAGGCCCAGCTGCATAAAAGGCAAGTTGAAGTGATCCGGTACACTGTACCCTTTCCCACCGGCTATTTTTAGTGTGGTGCACTTTTGGGCGCCCCCGAGCCAACAGCTCAGTCCCGCAACTCCCACCGCCGAGCCGAACTGCCTCTCGCTCCACTCCATTCCGCGTCTCTTGCGTCCGCCAGCAGCCCACCGACCAGCGCACCAGCCCCACCAGCATCCCAAGTACCTGTACCAACATGGGCAGCGACGAGAAAGCCGTAGCCAAGCCGTAAGAGCCGCTAATCCACTAGCGATCCAGCTCTGGAAGTGTTACTAGTGCTCTGATCCCGTCTAACGCCGCTGTTTCTTGTGCAATCCTTGCAGCGCTGAGAAGGAGGTCGCTGGCCAGAAGAGGAAGGCGCCCGCGGACGCCAAGATCACGTCGTTCAAGGAGTCCCCCAAGAACAAGAGCAAGGCCAAGAAGGAGAAGGATGAAGAGGAGGAGGAGAAGGAGGAAGACAAGGGTGGAGACGACGATGATGAGGACGACGAGGACGCCGAGGAGGGAGGAGACGACGATGACGACGACGACGACGATGACGAGGAGGAGGACATGGCCCCTAAGAAGAAGAAGCGGCGGACGGACAGCGACGACAGCGACAGCGGCGACGAGTCCGAGTCCGAGCTCAAGATGACGGAGGACGACCTTATCGGCGTGGACACGACCAACATCATCCCGCGCTCTCGCCGTCGTGCGGCGGTAGCTGCGGAGGCGCTGGCTTCCGAGGAGATCGCGGCGGCTACGGGCTCTGCACCTGCCGGTGCGTCTAAGGGCAACGACGACGACGACGACAACGACGGCGAGTCTAGCGACGAGGCCGAGTTCTAAGCTGAGGCACGGAGGATTAAGGGCCGACGCACTCACTCACTTTGAGATATACTCTTCTTGCAAACATTCGATCTGGTGTCAATTTCCCCCTGCTGGCTGGCTTTGGTGTACCGCCGTAACGGTTGCCAACGGTTGCACTGCGACTGAAAAGTTGATTGGCAAACGGTAGGGAAAGCAACGCTATCTAAAGTAATCAATCTAAAAGACTAGACGCCAGGATCAGATGCTTTATGGTACGGGGCCGAGTAGCTTCTCGAAATGCCAGTAAGCAGCCTCTGCTGCACGACCGCGGGCCAGTTTGTACGAGGCTCCGGTGGCTTTCAGAATGGGCTGAAGAAGGAAACCAAACAATGGTTAGCTTAGAGCCCTGGAGGTACGTAGGGTCTGCGTTAGAATGCATCTTCCTTACCCTTCCTTTGACGTAGAGTTCGACGGTGTACTTGCCAGAGTTCACTGGAGCTGGCAGATATCTACACACGCAGTACCGGCAAGCAAGAAGAAAAGTTAGTGCTGGCCCTGTTTCGCGATGGATAATGCTCCATTTCGTACTTGAAAACAGGTGTGCCATAGTAGTGGCCTTGCAGCAGGTTCTGCAGCTCGACAATGGGCTCCCAAATGACGTCGCGAGTCGCGTACTCTACCGAACGAGGAAGAATCTGCGTCGCCACGAAGTTCATCGCTGTCTCCATGCCCTGCCAACAACACACAGTTCACCGTACACCCATCAGCTCAACCACCACACTGCAACCAAGAATCGCGCCGCGTACCTGATCTAGATAGATAGCTCCGATCAGCGACTCAACCGCGCCCGCTGCAATGGTGACCCGCCCCTTGACGATGAACGGTGCTGCTCTCGCCTCCTTGAACTCGATCGGCCACAGCAGGAGATCCGTGATGCCCAGCTCCTTGCTAATAGTCGACAGCGTCTCATTCTTCACCAGGGCCGACTTGGCGCGCGAGAGCTGCCCCTCTTGGTGCCTCGGCAGCATCTGATAGACATACGCAGCCGCCGCCGCTCCGAGCAGCGAGTCCCCAAGGAACTCCAGACTGCGGTTCGACAGTCGCACCACGGGGATGTCCTCGGGCACGGGGTTCATGGGCAAACAGCCGTGGTGCGTCAGCGCGCTCTTCAGCAGCGTCACGTCCTGGAACTGCACGCCGATGCGCTTCTGCAGCTGCTCGAGCCCTTCGTGCCAGTCCTTGGGGGTCGGCACCTTCTCGAAGTGCTCGGGCTTGATCAGCTGCCAGTCCGGAGTGTTCTTCGGGTGCATTAGCTGCTGCACGGAGATGCTCTGCGTGGCGATCACGTCTCCGTCCAAGCGGCGGCGCTCCAGTCTGGCTGCGGCGTTGGGATCCGTTGGCGCTTGGCCCTTGCTGCGTCTGGCGAGGCCGTCGGGGTCGTTCTCGGCCGCCAACGCGGCTGCAACTGCGTCTGCAACTGCCTGGGGACTCCTGAAGCCATCCGGGAGGGAGCTGCGCGAAGAAAAAGCCCGAGAACGGTCCGTAGCGACCAGCGCACGGCGGCACCCGACACTCAGCACCTTGCGCATTGAGGTCACCAAGTTGCCTTTTGTGTGTGGCAGACGTCACGAAACCTGGTGAGGAGCATATTAATTGGAGCTCTACCTGTCGAAAAGAATATAATTCGTTTTGGACAGATCAGTTTGGTTTGAAGCGCAGAGTACGCGTACACGTCGATGTCTGCGCTACGACGCACAGGTTTTAGGACGACAGCGAAGCCGACAACACCAGTCTCCGAGTCTTCAGAGCGCCCAAGTAAAAATAATAGTTCCTGTAACCAAGATGATTCCAGAGATGAGGACTATGGCGAGGAGGAATCCGAAGTTTCGAGCCAGGATGACAGTGACTATCAAGAGGAGCAAGACGAGGAGAGTGAAGATGAGAGTGACAGCGATTATGGCGACGAAAGGAAGCCCCAGAGTAAAAGTCGGAATGGAGAGAGTACATTGACGAAGTACGAACACCAGCGACGCGAAAATATCTTACGCAACCAAGCAGATTGATGCAGTTCGGACTGCGGAAAGGCGATCAAGAAGCGAAAAAGAAGCAGACAATGAAGAAGCGCGCTCGTCGAGCGGCTGAGTGACTGAACCATCCAACACGTAAATCGCGGCGCCTCCAGAGTAGAAAGAGAAAGAGGAATACATATAACAGTAGGCGCAAGAGTTATAGTATAATTTAAAAATCTAACTGCCGATCCAACTTGCGGTTTGCACGCATCGCGAGTCTAAACTATCTTCTTGCCGCGCCAGAGGGCCACTTTTCCAGAGACGTCTCGCTGTAGCTTTCTATCAGCTCCAAGTGCGGGTGAAATGTACTAATGGAGTTGAAGCTGACGCTCACCAGCTCGTAGCTGACGACTACCGGCTTGGAAGATTGTTCGTTTCTGCTTCTCCATCCACCCGGCAGCAGATTGGTTCGGTCGCTTGAGGTCCCGTGCTGCTTCTAGCCTGGTGATCGCGAAGTTCAACTTACGGTAACTGGGAACACGAGTTGAGTTTGACAGCAAAGTTAATACTTCATTTGTATTGTATTGTGAACGTTAGTGCGCCTTACGCTCAGGGAATCCCATACCAACACCGCGTTTCATCGCAATCAATACTCGGATGTTGATGAGCCGTATTGACGTGCAGTTTGTTGGCTCACATTTTGCTGTTGCCCCGTGCGCTGATCGATTCTCCTTACGCTCCCATCGTCTCATCTTGTATAGTAGCACTGTGGGGTGTTTGAAGCTGTAAGCGAAACAATTCAACATCAAGAGCTGGATTTATTCGCGACGGAAGACTGCATCGCGCGAAGATCAAACTCGCCCACTGTGCCATCGAAACCAGAGGAAACCAAGCTGGACGAGTCCGGGAAAAGGAGCTGAAGCCATGTGAGGCTGGTAACTAGCCAATCGTGACGATGCGCTCACATTATCACCGGTCAACGATGACATACTTTTGGTCGTCTCTTCACAACGTGCTCGATGTTAGGGCCGCTCGGACCTTATCAGCGTCTTCTGTCGATATTGGGTACTCAACATTGTCGTCCGCGCTATAAACTGCTTCTTCTATTGTCTCCACATTCTTCTAGGAGGGCCTTGCCCGCGTCGTTTATTTTATAAGTTTCCTGAGTGTAGCCGCGAGTGGCCTTTTATCCGTTTTGCTGAGTATGTGGATCACATCGCCACTTGATGTTTGCTGTTCTTTCCACACAAACTGGGGCCCTCCCGTCTGAGTCGGCTCCGCTTTTTTGCCCTGCAGACGACTTGACTTGCGAGCTGGCGGCGCAGTCGGCAGACGCTCTCGCTTTGGTGCTTTGCTCGCTCCTTGGGTCAGTTGAAGAGCTATACCAGTTCGAGTTGCTAGTTTTGTTGCAGACACACCGGACTGTTCCAGGTATACCTGGTTGCGTAAGATATTCGTGCGGCGTTTGCGCTCATACTCCGTCATCTCCTCGTCATCGCCATCGTCATCGTCATCGTCATCGTCATCGTCATTGTTATCGCTATCGCCATGTTCGTGTTCAGGTTTATCTTCAACTGGTTCAGGGTGCTCTTGCTGTCTTTGTGGCTTGCTCTCTTGGGTATCTGGAGCTTGAGACGGTTCCGTTTCTTGGGTTTCACTCTGTTCTCGCGTCTTGTCCGCGAGCTGCTGGTTATTTTCGCTCTGGTGCCTTTCGGGCTGCTGCTCGTTCGGCTCGAGACTCGTGCGCTGTTTCAACCTCAGCCGCTTCTTCTTGGACGTGCGACAGCGACGTCTTTTACGCGGCTCGAAGTCCTCGTCCGCGCCGTCAAAATGCATTGCGCACTTCTTCTTCTTTGCTGGAAAATGGCTGGCGATAAAATACCGTAATTTCGGAAACTAATCGTACTTAGTGAAGACATCTGCTGAGAAAACACTTGCCATCGGACTGACACTTGGACAGCTTTCCCGAACCGACTGATTGAAAGACTACGAAGCATCTGAACAAGGTTTTTGAAGCTGACCTTGTTACTGCGGTATGGCAGTGTTTGGAAAAAATGAATTGGCGGCGATTGGCAGACGCAATCAACACTGCAGTTCCTACTGCAGTCGTTACTCATGCTGCAATCGGCTACTGCAGTATCGGTCGTGCTGCAATCGTGAATTGCAATAAGGTTTTGCCACCCGAGCTGGGGCTTCTAAGCAAATGCTCGGGTTAAAAATGGCTTTGGTATAGCTAATTTGGGAGAGGCCAACGGAGAGATCATCGAGGATAAGCTTGCCGTTTGCCGAATAACAGAAATTCTTCATTTTGGAATCGTCACTCTAGACAGCAGCATGCGTTGAGCAGGCAATACTAGATTGCAGTAAGTGTTGCGGTCGCAGTTAAAATTGCAATCGTTGGCGTCTCTGCAATTGAGAATTGGTATTGCGGCGCCGTCCGCAGTAGAGCATTGCAAGAAAAAAAATTGTACGGCGGATAGAGCAAGAGATTTTTTCCAAACACTGCGGTATGCATCACATTGTTTTTGCTGCGGCGTTTATCGGAGGAGTGTTGACACTCAAAAGCTTTCGAAGTTTTCATTCAGGTGGCGAAGGTGAAAGTTTTCACAACTGTGCTGCGTGGACTCTGCGCGTTACCGCGTCCTTCGCATACATAAAAATTTCTGAATGCATTTTATTAAACATACGCACAACGTAGACAGACCGAGCAAACCTTCGGTTATTCAAACATTATTAGTAACAAGACAGAAAAATATGACGAGGTAAAAAATATACGGATTCAATGGCAGTTTTCACACGACTTCTCTGTTTGCATGAGGTTGAACAACTACATGACATATATTCGATACTGTAGATACTACGTGTGAAGTAAGTGTAATAAGCTCTAGACTACACCTATTGTTTCCAGATCGAAAGCTGCGGCCCATATACTAGTATATATGTTTTATAAATTGATACACCAGCGGTCAGATATAAACATTTTCCTTCACGGTCGGGTATAACGGCTGGCAGAAATGAATCGCTATCATATATCCAGATCACCATGCAGCTGACCAAGACCTTTTTCTTGTTGTTTTATAAAACCACAAGGGAACCCCCCCCGACATTTTCAGCATATCACAGGGGTGGAGGATCTCGCGTCTTTAGTGACGCCGTATTTGCTGTGGGCAGAGATTTCTAATCGCATCAGCTGCTTGATATGCTGCGACGAAGGCCCGCTAACAAACGACTTCAATATTAACTTTGACTTCGAAGTTGAATCAACTGAAGTAGTTTTTAGACACGGATGCTGAAGGCTGCTTTACGTCACAATATGGACATTAAAAATGGCGACTGTAAGCAAGAATTTTTATCCTGGTTCGTGCGAACGGCGCGGTTGGTATCTCGGACAAAATCAGTCTTTGCTGTCTTGAGTAGTGATTTTAGTAGTCATCTTACATTATGCCTACATGAGTAGTGTGGGGTCTCCAGATACGTATTCATTGAAGTAAGCTTGTAATTGGTATCTTCAATCTTGTATAAAGACATAACCCCTTCCGATGATCGGTGAGGCATTTTGTGGCTTGAGTGTGCTGCCTTATTTGGAGCTACAAAAAATACCTCTACGTAAGGTACGTAAAGTATGAAGCATGCAAATGCTTTGTGTGCCTTCACAATATCTTACTATCTGCAGCAATAATTAAATTCAAGGAATAGCGTGCTACAGCTGAAGGCGCGTATCATGCTAAGCTCTACAAGAAAAAAAAGAACCGCCGGATTGTTGGTTGCACGTGTAGGTACTTATATTGTTTTTTGGAATGCAAACTAGATGGATTTTCATCGATGAGTAAGCTGTATTGATATTTCTAATTGCAGGACTCGCGTAAATATCTTACTGCCAGCCCAGTATTACTGTAGCTTCTAAAGTGTGCAATTTGCACGCATCGCCACTCTAAGCAATTTCGCAGTGTCTTCTTACATACCCCATTGTGTCCTTATCATCGCAATGTTCACATCCAATTGATTGGGGTCATCTTCATGATTTTGTTACCTCTTTTCTTGCGTACATATCGGCCCCAGCTAGGTGACTATAATTATGCTGGCGTATTCAGATAACGCTTCAGCTTTGATTCTCTTCCTTCCATTATCCGAAAAAAGTGATTCCTTCGCTTTCGTAAGTAGCATACAGGGGTTCCTGCGAAGTCGTCGGCATGGACAGCTGAAATGTTGCAGGAAATGTTTTTTTTCTCACGGTATTTGACTGGCTTTCATTATGCGACTGTTGCCATCCAGTTCTTCTGAGCATACGTGAGCGGGAGCCGCCGACGCTTACATCAAGTCCTTCATTGGCTAACTTTTGACAGCAACACACAAAGAACATCGACCCAGCAGCAACATGAGTGATTGAGGCTCGCAACGCGCTTCTGTTCCAGCGCGGAGTACCAGTCATGGTGACGTCGTGGCGATACGCGATGCATGCGTCACCAAGCAAACAAGAGGAAAGTACAAGAGCAGCCTCAACGGGATTAAGAAGTGGATCAGGAGCGAGCTCGCTAAGGAGGATGAGAATATCGCCAGGTTTTTCGACGCTGATGACGACATTAATCTAAGTGAGTTTACACCGAGTGTTTTTGAGCGTTTTCTGGTGTTCAAGAGTGCTTCTGTGAAGACGGCTACGCTGAGCGGGTACCGAAGTACTATCAAGAATCTTTATCGCATGAAGCGCGTGGCGCTGCCTCCTGAGTACGGTGATGATATGAAGCAACTGTTCTCCGGTATGAAGCGGATGGAGGCTGATCAGGATCAGACTAGCACCCCAAAAACATCAGTAAAGCTACTCCCTTTATAAGGAGTTGTGCAATTCGACTCTCGTGGCGGGTGATGGCGGGTTTTCACATCTTTTTTTTACTTCGCAGTGGAATGTGATGTGTCGGTCAATGTCGGTCCAGACTCTCCAAAGTCAGCATCTCGTGGCAAAAGATGAGAGCGTTGGAGTAATATTTGTCAAGATGAAGACTAACCAGGAGGGTTCAGGGCCCCGTGATCCACGCCACCTGTACGCAAACCCACTGAGCCCATCAACGTGCTGGGTGACTGCCTTAGCAATTTATCTTGCGTGCCACCCTCGATTGGAACCGGGGGCACCATTTCTAGGCTCTAACCAGAAGCTACAATTTCGCAAGGTGCTGGCTAACCTTTTGAAACAAGGAGACTCTGGTAAAAGTTACGGTACGCACTCGGTGCGCAAAGGGGTGGCTACATTCGCTTGTGGAGGAAGTACAGGTGGTCCCTCGATCGTGAGTGTGTGTCTTCGCTGCGGATGGAGCCTCGGTGGAGTTCAAGATCGCTATTTCCGTTATGAAGCCGCAGTGGATCAACTCCTGGGGCGAGTATTACATTCGTGCTAGTACAGTCGAGCTGATCGCAGTAGTGCGACGGAGCGTAAAGCTAGCAAATCTTGCTGGCGTACAGGGTATCCTAAAACCAAAGTTGTTAGCGAAAATTTTATAGCCATTTAGCAACAATAAACACAAACCTGGTAGCTCGTGAAGTCACCGCCTAGAACTCGGCTGTCAACTATAGCAGTCACCGCTTAGTCGATGTTGCCTGCCGGGCTCGATACTGTGGTGTAGCGGGATCGGCCAAAATCTGGTTGAGGCCTGATCAAGCTTCCCACCAGCGCCCAGACACCGACCAACGGAGGGGTCCCCCAACGATCCGTGATCGGCTGAACTTGTTCTCGCCTTGTGTACCCGTCGGCGGGCTGGATCTGCTCTCTCGGGGCTCCGAAGATGCCGCACTTGGTGAAGATCGAATGTCTTGGCGTGACGCGGGGATAGTTTGTGGAGCAGCGCGGTAGTCTTCGCTCTGCGTCCGAGTATACGCTCCGATCGAGGGTTCTTCGCTGCGATCGGTCGGCCTGGAGTTGATCCAAGGCCTGTAGTTGCCTTTCCGGGTGTGTTCCTTCCTTTCAGTTGCTTGCCGCTTCCTATAGCGGGGTCGAGATTGATCGAGAGGAAAAACGATCGCCGGCCAAGTACTATCCAGTCGATCGAGGACTTGCGCACGAGAGAAAGATCACTAGAGCAGGTCAAGCTGGCCAATGTATTAATCCAGTCTTAACCGTACCGCTAGTTCACTACCCGAAGTGTCAACGCTTGCCGAGGCCAATGTAGTTCCTGGGACTTGGTGACTTGAGGGGACTTGTGGTCTTTGGTGCAAATTTTCTTTTTGAGAAGGAATCGCAGGGACTCGGCAGCCTTGGATCACGCGTGGGGCCAATCAGAACCCCCACGACGTACGCTGGTCGAGGCCAATATGTGCTTCCTCCCCACGTTTCTAGGCCACTTGCGTTCTACCGCGCAAATTCGCTTCTCATTTATGTTTAGCTGGTGTCTCTCTACCGCTACCATCTCATCTACCATCCTACAACTAAACAACTACTGGACTCTTGTCCTGCCTTCGTCCTCCATGTGCATCCCATCGTGGTCGACCCCCGATCCACGATCGGCCCCGATCGGCGATCGACTCCTGATCCACGATCGATCTCGATCGGCGATCGGCGATCAACTCTTGTGCCGGTTGCCGTGCGCAGCCGACCCATCACCTTCCGCCCTCGGCCGTCCTAGATCTGCGAGATCTGTCGTCGATAGGGGCATGGGTCGCCACGGTTCGAGCACGATCATCCACAATCCGGGTTGCCACATGT